TTTACGTGGATCGAAAGCTGTAAAATGAGTTCAGGTATTTTTTGGCCACTTGCCACTGTTGATGGAATCGCGTTCTATTTCTTAGCAAGGAGCTGATGAACAGACCCGTGTCCTTACTGTGCGGACACAGTGGATGCCAAGAACGTATACATCAGCTGATTTCAACTCAGTGCGCAGGTGGACGGGAAAAGGCATTTGCAGTATGTCGGGAACCAATCAACGAACAGATGTTGAATATCAGCATACCCCATCGGCTCAGTCATTTCCAAATTGACTGTAAAATGCACAAACGTTGGCTGCACGTGGGTCGGTGAGCATGGTTCTAAAGAGAGACATCAAGAGACCTGCTCATTCCTCCTTCTGGAATGCCCCAATAGCTGTCATGGATCGCATTTGCGAGATTCACTTGAGCGTCACTTGGAGATCTGCCCTCAAAAGAAAGTACCTTGCGAGCACTGCACTGCAAACGTGGAGAGGCATATACTAGATCAGCATGAACCAACCTGTCAAGAAAAGCCGAGACCATGTCTATTAAATTGTGGTCATAATTTGCCCAGGTCAGTCATCATTCAGTTATCGCCATGAATTGATTCATGAAATTTTGTCATCATTTTGGTAAAGAAAAGGGAATGGAAAAAAATTAATCAATAGGACCAACACCCGGTTTTGCCCCAGTAGTAAAGCACCGTTATGGTAAAACCTTTTTAAATTTTTTTTGGCCTCTTCGAGGGTTAACCCGGTAATAGTAATAAAATTCCCAAAGAAGCCCGGTAACGTAAGATCCATGTGGGTCTATTTCAGGTCCCATGCTCACCTTCATTTGGACGAATGTCCGAAAAGAATGATGAAATGTAGCGTGGCCGGTTGTAACAATTTCTACTAGTTAGGGATGGAAATTGCTCACAACGAACTTTATCAAGGAAGCCACCAGGCGCTACTTAAGAATCAAGTTGAAAGTCTTCAGCGTGCGATTTATGACAAGGTTTGTGTGGAAAAGGTTTGTTGATCTCATTTAGAAAAGATTCGTTTTCAGGTAGAACACTTGAGACACTTTCATTCAGTTTGGATTTTGATGCTTTCGTTTTTGCTTTTATGTTATTTGCTTTTGTCTCTTATTTTTAATAATAATAATATTATTATTATCGTTGTTTTTCTAAATATTATTATTATTATTATTTGCAGTCTCAAGTTGCAGTGAAAAGGGAGTTGTCCAAGCGAAAGTGCTTCCGATGGACAGTGCCAAAGTCATCAATCCGAATTCTAAAGGATATTTCAAGTCCATTGTTTGGGTTTGAAAGTCACGCATTTCGGTGCGTGTGGAAGAGGACCTCTGGCCAAAATAGGCTGTTTCTAAATGCAGTGTTTGGCTCTTCGCCAATCACAGTTCAAACAAGGTATGAAAGTCAAAAGGCACTCCCACTCTGACTGTTATTAAGTAAAATGGTAGTATGATAAACCAACTCGTCATTCATGAATGGAGAACTTAGCAATGACAGTATAGACATCTTTTAATTTACATCGTTAATCCAAACAACCTTCATTTATAACTTTTCACATTTATTGACTGTTTATTTGCGATATTTAAAACAACACCATTCTATCAAATTCTACACACTAATTAATCTACCCTTTTTTATCAGATGTGTTTTGTTAAACGAGGACGGAGGAAAGAGAGTCTTTGATACTGAATGTGAAACCCTTGTGGAGGATCAAATCATCGGGGCAAAGGAAGACTTAGGCGCGATTGAAAAAGAGCAAGATCTAATTATAAAACTAATCTTGGTTATCTACAAACATACATAGAATAAATCATAAATTTTCTTTAGTAAAGTTTCTTTTCACTAACTTATTTACGAAGATGCTGTTTCTTTCGTCACGTGTTTAATTCAACTTACAGAGTGGCCAACGCACCACCAATTTTGCCGCCTTTTGTTTGAATCGTTTCGTGTAGGTCAAACTGAAATGTAGCGCTCGTTGGTAAAGGAGGGGTTACATTCGAAGGCCACTTTAATCTATCACAGCTTAACATGGGCCTAGCGCAAATATTTCGCTCGCTTCAAACAATGAAAAATATGTCCGCTCATTTCACGAATCTATGTTTTGAGGATTTTTGGGTAATTTTAGATGTAAATAGAGATATTTTTTCTCAAAGGATAAGTAAAATTTAGGTAAATAAGAAATGCTGATGATTTGATATAGTTTTAAAAATTGGAATTTGAAAAACAGTCCCTACCAACCTGGGGTTAGACTACGAGCAGTCCCTCCTTTTCAGCGAAGTCCGTCACGCTAGTAAAAAAAAAAAAAAAAAAAAATCGGTGAAAAAAAAAATTGATGTTAGCGCGCTGCGGGGAACTCTTGGAGTGACTAGTACGAACTAAGGCCAAATTTTTGACCGCCTCTCTTATAGAACTCCTGTGGCGTATCGGTGTTACCCCAAGGGTTTCAGTGGCGCGCTAACAGCAATTTTTTTTTCATATATTTTTTTTGGACTCACGCTAAGGACTTCGCCTAAAAGGAGGGACTGCTGGTAGTCAAACCTGAGCTGCGCTTTTGGTGGGGTCATCTTTCTTGTGGCGTTTAAACCAATTTTTTTTTCTTTTCAGCCCCTTCTTAAAAGTTCTTAAAATTTCACTAAAATTCACAAAAAGCACGCTTATGATCCTACTGAAAATTCCCATAAACATTTATATAATAAGCTCAGTTATGCACGCATTCTGATTGGTTCTCACTTATGATCTATTGGAGGACAGACGTATAGATGACGTCATCATTAAAACTTTTTTAAATTCTCTATTATAAAACAAATAGATTCCAAGTTGCCGTGCGTCTGTTCAGTAATAGATCACAGAGGACGTCAAAATGTGGTAAGAACATCAGTGACACACTCAGCTGCGCCTCGTGTGCCACTTTTTTGTTCTTACCACATTTTGACATCATCTGGAATTTGTTACTGAACAGACGCACGGCAACTTGGAATCTATTTGTTAAATATAGCATCAGATACTAAGCTGTTATGTCAAATAATGTCTTGTTTACAACTTCCTACTCTAAAAACCCAGGTATATCTGTATAATATGCATAATATGTTTTGATTATCCAGGCAGATGTACATTCGTTGCGCCAAATCAAAGTGAATACTGATGAGATACACAAGTTGAAAAGAATGATTTATCTCACGCAAAATTTAATTATGAGGGAGGAGGGGGGCGGTTAAAATCGATCAAAATTGCAATGATGTTATTCATGATCTTTCTATATTTACCAGCCTCCTGCCATTACGCATGAACTTAAAAGAAAATCAAAAGAGGGCAGTACTAACACCAGGGTATCAGCTGTGACACAAACTAAATTACGAGTATTTGACATAGAGAAGGAGGCTTGTCAATTTACCAACACATTTATGGTAACAGCAGGCTATTTATTGTTTCCAACAGGGAGGTTAGAACAGGAACGTTCATTAAAGAGAGAACAGGAAATTTCATTGCAAAAGGCAATCGAGAATGACAGGAAGAAATTGGTAAATATCATTTTCCAAAGAATTATATTGCAAAAACAATGCCCATATCAATGATATCAAGAAAGTCCGACAATGAAATAAGGATCTTTGTTAGATGACTTCCTTCAAGACTCTAGGAGTATAAATAATACTTATTGCCAATAAAACTGCTATAATTACCACTTTCTCTGATAAGAACTAAGCAGCAGCAATTTCAATATATTTTTATACATTTTCAGTGAAATATTAATTAAGTTGTCATGTATTTATTATGTCAGATTAAAGAACCAAGCAAGAAAATAAGGGAGGCCCGACAAGGCAGAGTTAGCCGACCCAATCTAGAAGGAGAGAAGGTGACAATTGTCCTACGCCACTCAAATGGCGAGGAAAAGTGCCAGTTCAGTAAAGGTGTTTTCTTCCAGGTACATATATATAATGATACAATTTGTTGCTTTAAAAAGTACTTCTTCTAAAATGCAGACATATAGTGATTGCCCGATCATTTTTTTTTAATGTAAACTTTTTTCCTGTTTTAATGATATAGGAAGTATACGACTAGGCAGGCTCCAATGAATGTCTACCACTTCATTTTACTATCCAAAGAGGTAGGTAAGTGGTAAGACATGGAGACCTTTTGGAGAGAACAGAGGTCTTGCACATTTACGAGAGAGTAAGTAAATAATAATATTACATAAAACAAATTATAACAGTACTAGAAACCTGGAATTCAAGTCTAAATATATACTTGCGTTATTTTGAGAAGGCAAATGAAACACTTTTGGTGAGTTTTCTTTAGAATTAAAAATTATCTTGAAATATGCTCTTATTTTCAGAAAGTTTACGATTAGAGAGGGCACTTTACAACCATGAAATATCTCTAATGTTACAGGTAACTCTGTTGCAGATCTGGCATTACACTTTCGCCACGCTGGGTGTAAGTCCCGAAGAACGCCCCGTTCTTCTGACAGAAGCCCCATTTAATCCACAAGTAAACAAAGAGAAGACAACACAGGTAACTGAAAATAGTTCATGAAGCCTAAACAGATATCCGCACAGAGCGAGATGTGCCCAGTCCACAGTCACGCGAACGAGAGATCAGAACCACTTTACGCCTAAAGCCAATAATTTCGAGATATGGAAGAATATCGATCAATAATCAAAGCATCTCTGCAGTTTTCCGCCGATGAAATATTCGAAAAAATGTCTCAATAGAAATATACAAGACTTAGGAGGAGCGCAAATATGGCGGCCGGAAATTCAAGCAAACCTATCAAGTGTCTAGTTTCGCTAGGAAAGCATTGCCGTAGCTCCATTTTGACCTAGAAAAATGTTCGCCCAAGCTTTTCAACAATGCCCACCGAAACATTTTGCCACTGATATAGGATAGGGACGAAAAAATTAGGTCAAAATATCTCTATTCAGGTTAAGTTTTTATACTCTGAACAATGCCAGCGTGGGAGGCAAGTGCTTCAGTTAATGTCTGTTATCTATATTTCAATAGATCATGTTTGGGACCTTCCATACACCAGTGATGTATTTAGCTCCAGCACCTGTCCTGTCTCTCTACGCCTCTGGCCGTAAGGATGGTATCGTCCTCCAGAGTGGTTTCGGCGTCAGTTACGCCGTCCCTATCAGTGAAGGTTTCGCTCTTCGCCAGAACGTTTCGAGTCTCGATTTGGCCGGTACGAATTTGACAGATTATCTCACAAAGATTCTGGGCGAACGGGTCAAGACTCTAACCGAGCACAGATTAACAAGAGATGTTAAAGAGAGGCTTTGCTATGTCGCTCAGGACTTTGAAAAGGAGATGAGTACTGCTGCCTCTGATCCGAGCTTGCAGAGAAGCTATGAACTCTCTGATGGTCAGTTTGTCACTCTTGGCGACGAGAGATTTAGATGTCCCGAGGTCCTGTTCCAGCCCTCCATGGCTGACAGTAGTTCAGCGTTGTCACCCGGCATCCATCAGCTTGTATTTGAGTCCATCGTGAAGTGCGACGAAGACATCAGAAATGAAATGTACGCCAATATTGTCTTGTCTGGTGGCTCCACTATGTTCAAAGGAATTGCTGAAAGAATGCAGAAGGAGATCACTGGACTCGCCGGGGCTTCACCTACAAGAAAGGTCAAGATCATTGCTCCTCCTGAGCCTAAATACTCTGCATGGATTGGGGGATCAATCCTGGCTTCGTTATCGGATTTTCAGTCCATGTGGATCTCTTAGCAAGAGTATGATGAAGAGGGCCCCGCTGTTGTCAACCGCAAATGCCTATAGCTATGAAAAAAATTTGAACCCGTCCATGATTCTGTACGGCGTTGGCTTTGAGTTGTTGATAAATATAGACAAAACTTGATCTAATGAAGAATAATTTAGATGTACACAGAAAGATTTGTTTCAGTGTCTATGTGTTAACTCTAAAATGATCACCAACTGAGGTACTTCTTGATCCATGTGCAAATTCACCTTGTTAACATAAAGGAAATATACAGAGAACAGTATGGAGAATATACTTAGTCATCAGATTGCTGTGTGTTCACTGAAGCCCTTCCCACCATGCCACTCCTCAAAACAGATCTTCTCCGAACGCGACTGAATTTAAATAACGGCAAACAAAAACAAACAAATTATAACAAGGAAAAATGACCTTCGTTGCAAGAAAGTAAATCTTCAGTACAATACGTATAGGAAATTTGGCGCAATTCCAATGATAAGGCTGCATGGAGTCTTTTATAGATCGATTTCCAACAGAAGAATATTTATTTTTAGGCTTACGTCGATCTCGTCGTAGTTTAATTTCCAGTCGCTATTTTGGAGATGAGCTTTGGCCGGAATGGTTAATCTGAAATTGTAATGACCCAAAAATCGTTAGGCAGGTAGCCGACTGAGTGACAGTTCTACCACTCATGCATGTTAAAACATGACGTTCAAACAGGTGGTAATCAGGGATAGGTGAATTGATAGATCTAAATACTGAAACACTCGCACTTTTTGTTTCTTAACAATTAATAAATAGATTATCTACAAACGAATCCTTTCGTTTTGCCCTCACGAAATCGCGGTTATTCTTTTAGCCGTAAATTCTTCCCTTTTGCCTTGGTTACCGCAGCAACGTGACAACTAGGGGTGCCCTTCAGTCGAAAATGTAAATTGTATGATCGTAATTTTTTGTTTCGTTAATGAATCGATTCCATCGACGAAAGCCAAATCATCTCGCAATCTATTGTTTTATCAGTTGTTCATCATTTTCTATTTTTCCTATCTTCTCATGGCGCCACATTGAAAATCCTCGAGCGATAAACCGACGAATTACAAAATTGTGTCGGTTGATGTTTAAGGTAAGCTTTACGACCGTACCAACTATAAAGGCCACTGGCACGAGATTTGCCTTTGCGTTGTAATGTTTACATTTTTGCTCAAATAAAAGTCATAGAGGTTTGTTTCGCTGGAATTCTTCGACAGCTTGAAGTATTTCGTTCATTTCCTTCTCCAAATCATCTGCCAGCTCTCTTAACTTTTTAACCGCCTCTGGCTCCTTCTCTTTCTTTCCTTTTCGAACGGAGTCAATCTCCGTTAAGGAAGTTACCATAGTGTAAATGTCCAAAGGGAGAAGCGCAATGCTCACCGCGAATATTCCAATCCGAGCGGTGTTTCCAGCTATACCTATGGATCGGAGTATTCCATCCATGCCCTCGCTCGCCACTGTCGTTGCCACACTAGCGCCGGTCATGTTTATTCCGTTACTCACATCGACGAGGTTTTTCACCAACAAGGCGACGCTAACATTGCAAGCGAGACTATTTTTCACGCTGCTAAACGATTCTTTGGATACTTCACGACAAAGGTCATCTAACAACTTCTGCACAGGTTCCTGTGCTTTACGATCGGCGTCGATGATTTCTTGCGCCGTCGCGAGCTTTGTTTTGAAAATTTTCGATTGTACAATGCTTGAACCAGCCACAGTAGCACCTCCGCCGGCGCAGATTGCTCCTCCAACCGCAGATAGAATCAGTGAAGTTCCAAGACTGACAGCAGCGAGACCGAACCCAGTGGCGGCTAAAACAAAGCCTCCGATTGATGCTGATGAGCCCGAGATCTTGGCGATGTGAACATTCTTGTAATGCTCCATAAGTTCGCCTGCCAGGCTTCACAATGTTTCAATCGTTTCTAGGCGTTTTACAGACCATTGACGAACACTGCATGTCAACTGCGTGGTGCAACTCACAAGGTCTATTTGGCTTTCCCCTTCATTTGGGGTCATGTCGTCGTCTTCCTGAAATTTAACTCCCTGTGAAACTGCATCAGACTCCATTTTTCTCTGAAAGACCTCAATGGCCTCTCTTTGATGTTCACACCGCAGCCTCTCTATGACGTATGCTTTCTGGCATCTCTTGTCCTCTTTTCGTGCTTAACAGTTTTTTTTAAGTATCTTGTTGCCTTGTCATATTCAAATGTTGCATGATCAACAGAATCACCTTTAGCCTTGGGTCTGAGGTTTTCTCTACAGCTGTCGCCAATGCGCTGTTTCCATGCCTCAGCAAAGAAAGCAAAAGCCATCTGTAAGGGTGACTTGGTAATCAGCTCCTCATCTACATCCCTCCTACAGGAGTATCGCCTGTGCGAACCGAGAATGCTTGTGACTCAGTTCAGCGGGTTCATTAGTAAGGACAGTTGAAGGAGCGACACCTCTTCTATTGAAGAGACGTTGGAATCACAGGGTCGGAATTCCTTCCGTTAACCATAACTTCGGGGCAAGGAATTCCTTCCGTCAACCATAACTTCGAAAGATCATCGTCGTGGTCAACTATGCTTCTACTTTGAGGCTCAGGGCAAGTTTCAGCTTTTCTTGAAGCCTTTATGATCTACCAGCGATCTACCAGCAATCCTGGCGACGTTGACATTGAAGTGATGATTCAATATATCATCCGCTAACTCTCGTAAAATACGAACCGTGTTTTTACACTCAACAGACCAAAGTCGAGCTTTGACTATTAGTTTTCTTGAATCAGTAAGCAATTTCTCCATTTCACTGTAAGATCGGAACTCGCAGTTGTTGCAGAGAAGGTGTAGTTTGTTTTCGGTTCGCGATGCGGCTCGTCTGATTTTTGAGCGGAAGCAAGTCTTCCCGGCATGCCTCGCATGAAAATTTGGCCTAAGGAAGGTTTCTTCCCCTACCCCCCTTCCCACTGTTAAATTCCATGACTTGTTTCGATCTGATAATTTTACTACAGAGAGATAGTTTGTTTTACGTCACTCTATCGGTAATATCTTGTCATTGCCTTTTAATCAGGCTCCCAACCACGAAGCTTCAACGAAAAGTGTTCGCAATTTGAAATATTACGACCTGCTTCATAGAAAGGTGCGTTCAACAAAAGTGAACGAAAACGAAAAGAAAGAAACTAAAAGAAAAGAAAAGCATTTATATGTTAAACTCCAAGAAAGTTGACGGCGCGGATAGTCTGAACACGACTCCGTTTCGACTTCAGGTGTTGGCGTTGCCGTTCTCCCCAACAAGTTCATGGCGTCATTTCCCTGGTTTTCTCGTCGCGATCAAAACGCCCTGGATTTGCGTAAATTGTGCACTTATAAACTAGATAATGCTGTTCAGAATGATTCCAGAACTCATTTCCAGGATAACCAGTTCCTTTGTCTGTTCTATTTGGCGTATTTGTGAAAATTTACCGCTACAGTTACGCTGGGTTCCCCAAAGCAAACTGAAACACGATCGTTGGCAAGCGATCCAAGATTTCAGGACTCAGTTCTCCTTTAGTTGAGCAACGCTTTAAAGAGTTTAAATGATGTAAGAGCTTTTCTTTGATATATTTCTTTAATGCTATATGAAAACTCTAAGAATGGGTTGCTGATGAATTTTATGGTGCCCACGTTTGCATTAAAGCGCTTGTCATCGTACTTGCACGCTAGCCTTACTCTCACCTAGAGAACAAACTCATCACAAATATGACCCAAATTTAAAAAAATTTCACACTACTCGAAAACTGAAACTGGATACAGAATGTAAGCAAATATGCTTGCCCTTTCCTCGCCCCTTCCTATTAAGTTTGCGCATACTACGATACTCGATCATATCCGAACCCGCACTCCTCGTAAAACACCTCACATCGCTGGGTGTCAAAACGTTCGGATCACTCACGGGTTTCAGCTTGACTTCCGCCAAATTAATAAAAGCATAAGTGACGCACTTGGAAAAGAAAACTCATAAGAAAAGAGGAATTTTAATTTTTGTTTTATGACAAACAACTACTCAACTACTCCCGTCGGTAGCCATTAGTGCGCTCCTGATCCCATTTTTTCACAGATTTGGTGCCAGTGAGATTCCCAAATGCTTCTTAGAAGCACTTGCGGTGAACAATGGAGGGACCAGATTCATCATATTCTTGTTTGAAAATCCACATCTGTTGGAAGGTGGACAGTGACGCCAAGATCGATCCCCCGATCCACACAGAGTATTTACGCTCAGGAGGAGCAATTATCTTGATTTTCATTGTGGGTGGAGCCAGAGCAGTGATTTCCTTCTGCATTCTGTCAGCGATTCCTGGAAACATGGTGGAGCGTACAAGTCTTTACGGATATCCACATCACACTTCATGATGGAATTATATGTGGTCTCATGGATGCCTGCAGATTCCATTCCAAGGAAGGAGGGTTGGAACAAGGCTTCAGGTCCACGGAATCGCTCGTTGCCAACAGTGATAATCTGGCCATCAGGAAGCTTGTAGGTCTTCTCCAAGCTGGAGGTTGAGGCAGCAGTCTGCATTTCTTGATCAAAATCCATGGCAACATAGCAGAGCTTCTCTTTGATGTCACACACAATCTCGCGCTCAGCCGTGGTGGTGAATGAGTGGCCACGCTCCGTCAGAATCTTCATCAGGTAATCGGTCAAGTCCCTGCCAGCCAAATCGAGACGAACGATGGCATGGGGAAGAGCATAGCCTTCGTAGATGGGAATTATATGACTGACACCATCACCGCTGTCAAAGACGATACCGGTGGTTCGGCCAGAGGCGTAGAGAGACAACACGGCCTGGATAGCTACATACATGGCTGGCGCGTTAAACGTCTCGAACATAATCTAAAAAAAATAAAGCAGAAAATATCAGATTCATCTCATTGAATGCTTGATATCGAAAAACACCTAATTTTAGCCTATGTGTAGCCGTACCCACCCCCCCCCCTCCCCCAAAGTGAAACGGAAGCGTTACCTTGCCTCCGTTTCACTTTGCGGGGGGAGGGTATGCATAAAGTATCATACATTTCCTTATGCATAAAGCATTATGCATTACCGTATTTCCTCGAATGAGTTAGCGCAGTAATAATCCAAAATTAAAAAGAACACTCCTCACCTCCCCCCCTACACACCCTATTACTCCCCCTATCATTCAAGTCTGGGACTTCCATGAAAACAATGATGTTACGTTAAAAAGAAAACAGTTTTGTTCACGTTAACAGGTGTAAATGCAATCATGGTTGATTGGAATTCTCGATATCGAACCGAATAGAAAAGAAAACGTCAAATTTCCACGACAAACATGCTGCCACACTGGTATTTCCTTCTAACCAAGGGATTATAAACTGTTTATATTCTCATGTACTAACTCAAAAGCGAATTGTACAATTTACGTTAAAATTTGTCTGAATTATGCAATAAAACAAAGCGAAAATCTTGGTCACAGTTATTCAAATTTATGACGGTTAATGAATCAAGGCAAAAGCTAGTTTGGATTCTTATCACTTGAAACTTGTAACTGTTACCTGTGTCATCTTTTCTCTGTTGGCTTTTGGATTTAGAGGAGCTTCTGTCAGTAGAATTGGGTGTTCCTCGGGGGCAATGCGAAGTTCGTTGTAGAACGTGTGATGCCAGATCTGAAATTTCAAATAATGTTTGTCTTAACTCAATGAAATTCCCTGTAACTTAACTGATAATTACAATTTCAGTTACCTTTTCCATACCATCCCAATTGATTACGACACCATGTTCAATGGGATATGTCAGAGTCAGAATACCTCGCTTGCTCTGAGCTTCATCGCCGACATACGAGTCTTTCTGACCCATACCAACCATCACACCTTGATGTCTTGGGCGACCAACGATGGAGGGAAACACTGCACGAGGAGCATCGTCCCCTGCAAAACCGGCCTTGCACATACCAGAGCCATTGTCCACAACCAAAGCAGTAACTTCATCAGCCATTTTTAGTTCACTTCGACGAAGCGAGGAGGCACAAAAGTGTTAAAAAAAAAGGCTTGAAACTTTTTATTTTCATAGCTGTGAGCGGCTTATATAGGTAAGGGAACTTGTTCACTCAGGTGATTGGTAGAAAGCTTTCATTTATTGTGTGATATTTAGTCTATTCCGGCCACCTGTGATTCCAGCTAGAAATATCTGCGGGATTCCCATTATGTTTTAATACAAACGACGCTTCGGCCTTGAAATGAAACAATACTTTGTCTTCTTGTTGAATTTAGCGACTTTGCAAATCACAAATCGTTTATATTAAGGTGTTAGTGGTTAGCAATTCTACCGGCTCAAGTTTGTTGCCGTTAACTTTCAGTCACAGCAGTAACTGATTAAAACACAAGCTTACTCTTGCTTCGCTTTTTTCCTGTAGGAAACATTCTACTTCACTTGGATGAAAGAAAAAAAAGGAAAACAATCACCTCTGTGATTTCTGATCAACGCCAACGGAGTTGGCAAGGAGTCCAAGTGTAAAACTTACTTCTTTTGGCCATATTTGGTTACGGAGTGCACACAATGTTAAACAATTTGGTTAATTGAAAAATAACCAACTTCAGATCTTATTCACCAGCCTTTTCTGCTCAAATCGGTCTCAGTAATCAATTATACACCTTAAGGAGTTTAGTATACTTCTAAATTTGCAAATCCCACAGTTATCATTTACGCTGCTAAATTATTTCATGAATATCAGCTACATTTGAGACGGCAGAAATCACAAAGTTTTTTAGTGTCAATCACCCGTCAAGAGCTAACGCTGAATTCCACCAAACTAATAATCTTTTGTCGTGTGATGAGGAAATCATGTTATTTTTGTTTTGAGTCCAAGCAACCAGGGATCTGTGGCCTTGTTCGATTTAAAGCCAAATATGGAAATAAAAGAGGACCTTCTTTCCTAATATGGCTTCAGAGCCGTTAATCGAAATTCTATCAATGATTAACTTAGATCGACGAAAGAATTATTACAACATTCGAATAATTCAAGGAATTAATTTCAAAGTTTCATACACCTTGAGACTGTTACTTCTACTGTGGAAATCAGGCTAAAAAATCGCATTTAGTTCATTAAGCCCTGAAGAAAAAAGCCACTGAAGGAAAAAAATTTGGCCGTTATTGAAATATTCAAACCAAGCGTCGCTTTCTGCTAACCACATAACGGGAGTCCCGCAGAGGTTTACATGAAGACTCACAGATGTACCCACGCGTGTTCAAAGGCTAACTTCTCCTCGCACTATCGATAGAATGTAAAGCACACAAAAAGTGAGAATTGAGATATTGAGCGACTTATAAACAAAGGGTTGTAGCTACACTTAAATTTCATCTAACGATTATTATAACAAATGTGTGGCAATCGCAAACTTGGGAGAATTGATATTTCGAAGTAAGAAAGAATATGTATGCAACGCGAGTTGGACCTGAATGAAACGTCTCGATCAAATTGGTCTTGTCTAGTTTGTTTTAGCAATTGAGTTAAATACATCGTTTCCAAGTTTTGTGGGGTTTTCGTCTTTCAAAGCAAAGTAAAAGGATGACGAAAGAGTAGATGAAAATCAAACTAGGTCAACAAACACACAACTCAGTGTGGATATGTAAATTTTGGATTTATTAATAGGCTGATCCCTTCAACCTGACTCTAGCTAACGAGAGAGGCCCTCATTTCAGCGTTTCAGTAAGAGCGTTTTCCCGCCTGCAAATAAGTTTGAAACCTTGCACATCGCGAGCTGGCGAGAGGTTTGAAAGTAGTCTTGCACTCATATCAGAACGGGTTATTGCCGTTCTTCCCAACAAGTTCATGGCGTCGTTTCCCAGGTTTTCTCGTCGCGATCAAAACGCCCTGGATTTGTGTAAATTGTGCACTTATAAACGAGATAATGCTATTTAGAATGATTCCAGAACTCATTTCCAGGATAACCAGGTCCCTTTGTTTGTTTCATTTGGCGTATTTGTGAAAATTTACCGCTACAGTTACGCTGGGTTCCCCAAAGTGAATTGAAACACGGTCGTTAGCAAGCGATCCAAGGTTTCAAGACTCAGCTCTCCTTTAGTTGAGCAACACTTTAAAGAGTTTAAACGATGTAAGAGCTTTTCTTTGATACATTTCTTTAAGGCTATATGAAAAACTCTAAGAATGGGTTGCTGATGAATTTTATGGTGCCCACGTTTGCATTGAAGCGCTTGTCATTGTACTTGCACGCTAGCCTTACTCTCACCTAGAGAACAAACTCATCACAAATATGACCCAAGTTTAACAAAATTTCACACTGCTCGAAAACTGAAACTGGATACAGAATGTAAGCAAATATACTTGCCCTTTCCTCGCCTCTTCCTATTAAGTTTGCGCATGCTACGATACCCGATCATATCCGAACCCGCACTCCTCGTAAAACACCTCACATCGCTGGGTGTCAAAACGTTCGGATCACTCACGGGTTACAGCTTGATTTCCGCCAAGTTAGTAAAAATATAAGTGACGAACTCGGAAAAGAAAACTCATAAGAAAAGAGGAATTTAATTTTTTGTTTTATGACAAACAACTGCTCAAATTCAAAGAAATTACAAATGAACTGTGAAGGAAAGAATGTCTCCCGTCAGGAGCCATTAGTGCGTTCCTGATCCCATTTTTTCACAGATTTGGTGCAGTGAGATTCCCAAATACTTCTTAGAAGCACTTGCGGTGAACAATGGAAGGACCAGATTCATCATATTCTTGCTTGGAAATCCACATCTGTTGGAAGGTGGACAGTGACGCCAAGATCGACCCTCCGATCCACACAGAGTATTTACGCTCAGGAGGAGCAATAATCTTGATCTTCATTGTGGGTGGAGCCAGAGCAGTGATTTCCTTCTGCATTCTGTCAGCGATTCCTGGGAACATGGTGGAGCCACCAGACAACACTGTGTTGGCGTACAAATCCTTACGGATATCCACATCACACTTCATGATGGAATTGTATGTGGTCTCATGGATGCCAGCGGATTCCATTCCAAGGAAGGAGGGTTGGAACAAGGCTTCGGGTCCACGGAATCGCTCGTTGCCAACAGTGATAACCTGGCCATCAGGAAGCTCATAGCTCTTTTCCAAGCTGGAGGTTGAGGCAGCAGTCTGCATTTCTTGATCAAAATCCATGGCAACATAGCAGAGCTTCTCTTTGATGTCACGCACAATCTCGCGCTCAGCTGTGGTGGTGAACGAGTAGCCACGCTCCGTCAGAATCTTCATCAAGTAATCGGTCAAGTCCCTGCCAGCCAAATCGAGACGAATGATGGCATGGGGAAGAGCGTAGCCTTCGTAGATGGGAACTGTATGACTGACACCGTCACCGCTGTCAAAGACGATACCGGTGGTTCGGCCAGAGGCGTAGAGAGACAACACGGCCTGGATAGCTACATACATGGCTGGCGCGTTAAACGTCTCGAACATAATCTGAAAAAAAAACCCAGAAAAAATCAGATTCATCTCATTGAATGCTTGATATCGAAAAATACCTAATTTTAGCCTTTGTGTAGCCGTACCTTCCCCCCCCCCTCCCCCAGGTTAAACGGAAGCGTCACCTTGCCTATGTATGCGTAAAGCATTATGCATTACCGTATTTCCTCGACTGAGGGGGGCTTTTAAAGTTAGCGTAGTAATAAGCCAAAATTAAAAGAACAGACTCTGCACAAAAGGAACGCTTTAAGCGCAAGGAGACAAACATGCTGCCACACTGGTATTTCCTTCTAACCAAGGGATTATAAACTGTTTATATTCTCATGTACTAACTCAAAAGCGAATTGTACAATTTACGTTAAAATTTGTCTGAATTATGCAATAAAACAAAGCGAAAATCTTGGTCACAGTTATTCAAATTTATGACGGTTAATGAATCAAGGCAAAAGCTAGTTTGGATTCTTATCGCTTGAAACTTGTAACTGTTACCTGTGTCATCTTTTCTCTGTTGGCTTTTGGATTTAGAGGAGCTTCTGTCAGTAGAATTGGGTGTTCCTCTGGAGCAATGCGAAGTTCGTTGTAAAACGTGTGATGCCAGATCTGAAATTTCAAATAATGTTTGTCTTAACTCAATGAAATTCCCTGTAACTTAACTGATAATTACAATTTCAGTTACCTTTTCCATATCATCCCAATTGGTTACGATACCGTGTTCAATGGGATATTTCAGAGTCAGAATACCTCGCTTGCTCTGAGCTTCATCGCCGACATACGAGTCTTTCTGACCCATACCAACCATCACACCCTGATGTCTTGGGCGACCGACGATGGAGGGAAACACTGCACGAGGAGCATCGTCCCCTGCAAAACCGGCCTTGCACATACCAGAGCCATTGTCCACAACCAAAGCAGCAACTTCTTCATCAGCCATTTTTAGTTCAATTCGTGGAAGCGAGGAGGTACAAAAGTGTAAAAAAAAGGCTTGAAACTGATTCAGAACTCAGTGCTCGAAATTATTTTCATAGCCGCGAGCGGCTTATATAGGTAAGGGAACTTGTTCACTCAGGTGATTGGTAGAAAGCTCTCATTTATTGTGTGATTGAGCTTATTCCGGCCACCTGTGATTCCAGTTAGAAATGTCTGCGGGATTCCCGTTATGTTTTAATACAAACGATGCTTCGGCCTTAAAATTAAACAATACTATGTCTTCTTGTTGAATTTAGCGACTTTGCAAATCACAAATCGTTTATATTAAGGTGTTAGTGGTCAGCAATTTTACCGGCTCAAGTTTGTTGCCGTTAACTTTCAGTCACAGCAGTAATTGATTAAAACACAAACTTACTCTTGTTTAGCTTTTTTCCTGTAGAAAACATTCTACTTCACTTGGATGAAAGAAAAAAAGGAAAACAATATGATTTCTAATTAACGCCAACGGAGCTGGCAAGGAGTCCAAGTGTAAAACTCACTTCTTTTGGCCATATTTGGTTACGGAGCGCACACAATGTTAAACAATTTGGTTAATTGAAAAACAAACAACTTTAGACTTTATTCACCTGTCTTTTCTGCCTAAATCGGTCTGAATAATCAATTATAAACCTTAAGGAGTTTAGTATACTTCTAAATTTGCAAATCTCACAGTTATCATTTACGCTGCTAAATTATTTCATAAATATCAGCTACATTTGAGACGGCAGAAATCACAAAGTTTTTGAGTATCAATCACCCGTCAAGAGCTAACGCTGAATTCCATCAAACTAATAACCTTTTGTCGTGTGATGAGGAAATCATGTTATTTTTGTTTTGAGTCCAGGCAACCAGGGATCTGTGGCCTTGTTCGATTTAAAGCCAAATATGGAAATAAAAGAGGACCTTCTTTCCTAATATGGCTTTGGAACCGTTGATCGAAAATTCTATCAATGATTAACTTAGATCGACGGAAGAATTATTACAACATTCGAATAATTCAAGGAATTAATTTCAAAGTTTCATACGCCTTGAGACCGTTACTTCTACTGTAGAAATCAGGCTAAAAAATCGCATTTAGTTCATTAAGCCCTGAAGAAAAAAGCCATTGAAGGAAAAAATTTTGGCCGTTATTGAAATATTCAAACCAAGCGTCGCTTTCTGCTAACCACCTAACGGGAGTCCCGCAGAGGTTTACATGAAGACTCACAGGTGTACCCACGCGTGTTCAAAGGCTAACTTCTCCTTTCACTATCTATAAAATGTAAAGCACACAAAAAGTGAGAATTGAGATATTGAGCGACTTATAAACAAAGGGTTGTAGCTACACTTAAATTTCATCTAACGATTATTATAATAAATGTTGGACCTGAATGAAACGTCTCGATCAAATTGATCTTGGTCTAGTTTGTTTTTGCAATTGAGTTAAATACATCGTTTCCAAGTTTTGTGGGTTTTTCCTCTTTCAAAGCAAACTAAAAGGATGACGAAAGGGTAAATGAAGGTAAAACTAGGTCAACAAATACACAACTCAGTGTTGATATGTAAATTTTGGATATATTAATAAGCTTCGTAAATAGTTCCAGCCTGACCAACTATTTTAACCATATAAGGAGAAGAACAAAGTTCCAAGTTGTCTGATTCCTCGGCCTCTCGCGATTCGAAAAAACACGATCGCAGAACTTATTTGCACAAAATACGTTTGTCTCTTTTTTTCATTCTCTTTTTTTCATATCAGCTGTTGTCTTGGAAATAAACCTGCCCTCCTCCCTGAACGAGAAATCAGCAGATCCTATATGCGGCCATCTTACTCACTCAGCAGCTTGACCGCTGACCGACGAAAAGCGGTCTTCGATCTCTATTAGCTGAGAACTGTTTACTATACTTTTTAGCCCCCGAGCCAATTCAAATTTTCAATATTTTCTGAGCAATACATGTACTACAACACCAGTAGTGCTATTTGTTTAATAAGTTTTTAAACCACTGAATCGCGCGCAAGGGACTCAGTAATATTACCTGTCAGAGTGTATCTTAGCGTAACAGGTGACAGAAATAAGAGAGGCAAGGAAATAAGAAAAATTACTGGCAGAGGTAAAGCAGAAACAGAAACGGCATAGTGATCGATTGTAAAACTAATTTTAAACTTTTACAAATATGGCAAAATTAATTTTTTACAGTTAATCCCTGAGAAAAAAACATGCGGTACAAAGATTCCGAGCCTGCTAGCTGTTGCGGTATGTAACCACACGAAGAAAGATTTAAAAAAGGGAAATTCAGGAGCAGATTAAATCCATCCGAGTAATGAAACAGCAGTGACCATTTACTATTGTGCGTGATGATACCCTCTGAAGGCGAGATCCTTTCTTTTCCAAGTTCGTAAAGAGTCTTTAAGCATATACATGCTGTATCAGCTTGCGAGTAGCACCAGAAAAAATAGCGCAATTTCATCAAGACCATACTCGCTTTGTCAGAATTAAATTGTTTACTTCTTTAAACTGCATTTTTTTACCTAAAAAGGTTATGAATGGGTTGTTGCGTTACGGCGTTCAATGAAAATGCATTGAGGCGTGTGGATGAACTTGTCTCCTAAATAAAGAAACTGGTGTGTCACAAAATCACTCTAAGACAAACATTCAAATTACGTGTCCACAACTCGGGAATGAAAAATGGATAGCTCAGCAGAAAAAAATATCCAGAATGAATTTGATGAAATTTTTAGAATACTACTATGCTTCTTTTTACTTCACACGCATCTTTCAGTGTTTCATCCGTAGCTATGGACGAATTGCGTAAACCTCTATTTATGAAGTTTCAGTTATTTCTCTTTAAGTGGTTTATTTGAATCCCACAAATATTTGTATCACCAAAATATTGAAGTGGAAGTATTTCAAGACCTGTTTCAGAGGTTATATAGATGTTGATTGTGTAATAAATGGATCTGGTAGAGGTAAGAATTGTCTCGAATCTTCTTGGGTTTCCGTGAAACAATATAATCGCAATAAAATGCAAATTCGGTTGCCGGGGCTAAGTCGACACCACGAAACAATTGAAAACATATTCCAAACTGTATTCTATTAAAGCGGCGCTCAAGTCTGAGAGAAACGGTTTTGCGTCGTAATAACTCCTATCCATATATTTTCAAGCTAAAGAATCGCCTTACTCTAAGCAATTCCGAGAAAACTAATATAAATCGAAGGAAATTCATTCATAAAACTTCGGTCTGAGAGACTCAGACCGGCAAAATCGGTGTCGGAAATCACGTCTGTGGTTTATTTTCCACGTCCGGCACATAAAACCGAAGAGGGTGTATGATACAAACAAAGCGTTGCATTTTCATTTAAGGACTCCGAAGAAGTACGTCCCTTGATTGATCTCCGTAATTTTACAGAAAGAAACGTTCGGCCATGTCACTTGTATCCGCTTGAACGATTGTCGGTCCCAGCTGATATCGCCAAAACAGCCTTAGTTACTGCGCATAAATTGAAGTCTGATGTGTTCGATTTACCATCGACAAGAATAACCTAGCGCCAAATTTGGCGAATTTTAGCGTGGTTTTCATAAAAATTTACACAGTTTGAAATAAACATGAGTTTTACCACCCGGAACTACATCATTCTATGCGTGTCCATTTTCAACCAATGATGTTCAAGCATTTACCGGCATAAAGCGTGGAACGAGGTGTATAAAAGATCACTCTGAAAGCGATTTGAAAAAGTAAAATTCTAAGCAAAGATTTGTGTCCAAATCGTCGAAACTATCCGAAATGGCTGACGAAGACGTTGCTGCTCTAGTTATCGATAATGGCTCTGGTATGTGCAAGGCCGGTTTTGCAGGAGACGATGCTCCTCGTGCAGTGTTTCCTTCAATCGTCGGTCGCCCAAGACATCAGGGTGTGATGGTTGGTATGGGTCAGAAAGACTCGTATGTCGGCGATGAAGCTCAGAGCAAGCGAGGTATTCTGACTCTGAAATATCCCATCGAACACGGCATCGTAACCAATTGGGATGACATGGAAAAGGTAAGCTTAAGTTTTAACCTTTCATTCGCAGTTCTCAATAATCGCCTAACAAGATTTCCTTATAATATCAGATCTGGCATCACACCTTCTACAACGAGCTTCGTGTAGCGCCCGAGGAACACCCAGTTCTGCTGACAGAAGCTCCTCTCAACCCAAAAAGCTAACAGAGAAAAGATGACACAGGTAAGGTTTTCCGCTTTGATCAATTTTAAATGCGAAAAAAGAGTATTCGGATGACCCTATTGGTGATAGAGTGCATTTGGGCGTGGACAACAAATCTCCTAGATCGCGTTATTCCTTACTGATCTGCCAGAATTGTGTTTTCTGACCCTCAACTTTGCACTAGAATCAATTTAATTAAATTGTTTACGGATGGTTGCAACCATATTCGCCTCGACAGAGATATTCTCATAATACACAGCAATACTGTAAAGTAAATTTTTAACGTTTGTTTGATTCGTTCGGCAGTATGCGATAAATCCTACTCTCAAAGTATATTTACGATTCACATAAAGTAAAGTGAAAGTTGCAACTGACATGGACCTGATGAAACTTGTGCTTTCGGTTACTTTACGGAAAATTTGCATATACCGTACTTTGTTTGTTTGAATCAAAAAGTACTTTACGATATGCTATAGAGATATCAAGTTGAGTGCACGCAATATTTCTATCGTATTTTTTTTTTCACAAAATATCCCTACATTTGGGTAAGAAAAAAACTAAATCTTTTTGAGGGAGGTTTTAATTTTTTCTCACCGAAGAAAAATCTTTCGAGGTACTACCTGATCATCTGGGTTAGTTTTGTGGCCATATATGGTAAAGAAAAACGCCAATTGGTCAGAATTTGTTATACAAGCTGTAATAAGGGTGACTGATTAAAATGCACGTTCGGTTGCACCTTTTGTTTGAATTGTAAATAATTGACACTAGCTGATTGAAGACCGTTTTCGCCTTGAATTTAAATTGTGTTTAACAATAATTCCTAAATAAAAGGATCTGAAGTGACTTGCAAAATCGAAGCATTTAAAATGCAAATTTAGTTTTTTCATGAGACATGACGGCCTTAAATTCCTCTTAGGTCACACTGCGTGTTCATAATTAAAAATTTGACTGGAGTTTTAAAATATGTCCGACGCGTGAATAGAGAGTGCTCCGTTTTGTTGTATTTTTTCTGAAATGTTTTTCTCCTCGCCATCAGATTATGTTCGAGACATTCAACTCCCCAGCTATGTATGTAGCTATCCAGGCCGTGTTGTCTCTCTACGCCTCTGGTCGAACAACCGGTATCGTCTTTGACAGCGGAGATGGTGTTAGTCACACAGTTCCCATCTACGAAGGCTACGCTCTTCCCCATGCCATCCTTCGTCTTGATTTGGCCGGCAGGGACTTGACCGATTACCTGATGAAGATTCTGACTGAGCGTGGTTATTCATTCACCACCACAGCTGAGCGCGAGATTGTGCGTGACATCAAAGAGAAGCTCTGTTATGTTGCTCTGGATTTCGAACAAGAAATGCAGACTGCTGCCTCCAGCTCCAGCTTGGAGAAGAGCTACGAGCTTCCTGATGGCCAGGTTATCACCATTGGCAACGAACGATTCCGTGCTCCGGAGGCCATGTTCCAACCCTCTTTCCTTGGAATGGAATCCGCGGGCATCCATGAGACCACATACAATTCCATCATGAAGTGTGATGTGGATATCCGTAAGGACTTATACGCCAACACAGTGTTGTCTGGTGGCTCCACCATGTTCCCAGGAATCGCTGACAGAATGCAGAAGGAAATCACTGCTCTGGCTCCACCCACAATGAAGATCAAGATTATTGCTCCTCCTGAGCGTAAATACTCTGTGTGGATCGGAGGATCGATCTTGGCGTCACTGTCCACCTTCCAACAGATGTGGATTTCCAAGCAAGAATATGATGAATCTGGTCCCTCCATTGTTCACCGAAAATGCTTCTAAATAAAAAAGTCAATTTTTAAAGAAAGGACAAGACATATAAGACAGACAGATTAAGGAATATTGTTATTGCGGAAATACAACTCTTGAATTCTATGTTGTTTCCCTGACCCGTATTCTATTTTTGTAGATATGTTCGTGTTGTTTATTTCCTAATAAAGACGAGGAAATATCTGTGAAACAATATAACTATTGAAATAACGGCAGTATCGCTCCTTCCCTAAATGAAACAGTAATCTGATTTTCATCGATAAAAACCACTTGCCCTTGGTTCCTTGCATCTAATCCAATGCCTTGTAACAGATATTTTGTAAATACTATAGAGTTCAATTTCTGCAGGATAATTTCGTGTGCAAAGAATTAACCCTTGAACTCCTTAGAGTGATTAGCACTTGATTTCTCCTGACAATATAAACTCCAAATCACACATAAAGGTAACAAGAAGCTCTAGCTTGTTAAACAAATTCTCCTTGTCAGCACCTAAGGAAATCTATAGAGAACAGTATGGAGAATATTTCTACTGATGTTAGGGTGTAAAGGGTCAAAGGCTAAAGCTCAGAACCCAATAAGACCAAACATTATTCATTATTATTTTCATTATTAGTTCCAGTCTCCTGCATAATAAATTGTTCCCAGGGGAAGGACGGGAATGCATGGCGGCAGAATGGAAAAAATTTAACTTGTCTGGCTTTTTGCATTAAGCCTGTATCGTCTGGCAAATGGCTGATCTGCAGGCGGAGTGTCAAATAAATTAGAATTAATAATTTGCAATTAAAAAAAAAAAATTCCCGCGAATTCACATTTACTCTCTTAATGACCTCTACACATCGGTTGGAGATGGCGTTACATTCTTAAGAAAGTAGTTTGAAACAAAATTCTTCCTTAAATGTACTTGTTACTTTTTAACTGCCCATTTACGTAATCATTATATCCAGTTTTTAAGTACTTATCGCTCCAGAGTGATGGAATGACAACATATCTTGCGAAATTTTTTTATCTTCCATGAAAATAAAAATTGAACTTTTAAATCCGTATTCTATGGAATATAAGAATTTAGTGGTGCGTCTTGGGTGTAAATGAATATAGAAATACGTAAATATCAAAGCACGAGAAATTCATAGACAGACAGTAATACTAGACAGTCTACGACAGTTTGCGCAATTTGATTTTCCACTTTGAAAACAAAGGAAGGATTATCATTTTTCGAATTCAAAATTCACGATAACCTATAACCGCAGACCACCTGTAGGAGCAAAGCTGCGCTAAAACATGTCTATATTTGGTAATAGAGACTCATTTGCTTCCGGCGGTTTCCATATCGGTCGCTCCAACAAATTACCAGATCGTTTGAAAAATCTAGAATTGAATTAAAAGTTCTTTGATTCAATGGCCATTAGAATTGAAACGAGTCCAATATTACCGCTTGGGCTTCTGTAGTTTTGTCTTGCGGTGAAATTTCCAGTACCCTCTCGATTTCCGCTTGATGTCACGAACTTACGTCACGTTTGAAATGAGCTTCATTACTTCATCCAATCGTTGGACGGAACGGATATCCTTGCATATATCAACCGCGCCAAAGCATACACCCATCATTCGACGGTTGTATCGATCGACTAAACTGTGAGTATACTGAAGGTTGCTTGGTAAATTTTAGTACTTTCATAAAATGGCTGACGAAGATGTTGCTGCTTTGGTTGTGGACAATGGCTCCGGTATGTGTAAGGCCGGTTTTGCAGGAGATGATGCTCCACGTGCAGTGTTCCCTCCATCGTCGGTCGCCCAAGACATCAGGGTGTGATGGTTGGTATGGGTCAGAAAGATTCGTATGTCGGCGATGAAGCTCAGAGTAAGCGAGGTATTCTGACTCTGAAATATCCCATCGAACACGGCATCGTAACCAATTGGGATGACATGGAAAAGGTAAGCTAAATTTAATCTGGTTTCTATTCCAACTTCTAGTTCTAGTTCGTACCAATCGCTGAACAACATTTCCTTACAATTTCAGATCTGGCATCACACCTTTTACAACGAGCTTCGTGTAGCGCCCGAGGAACACCCAGTTCTGCTGACAGAAGCTCCTCTCAACCCAAAAAGCCAACAGAGAAAAGATGACACAGGTAACATTTACGAAAGACGTTAAATTTATTGCTCTTTAACCGCGCTTGGGTCTTCCAGCCGGCGCACCCTGTTTCGCTTGCCTAGAAATTTCAAGTTTCTACAACGCCCCTGTTGTTCAACCGCAGTGACGCGAAAAGTTTACTATTATACTAAGCCCTCTGTATGCCAGCAGAAGCGATCATATAATTGAACCATTTTCATGAAAACGTCGGCGACACGTAAATTAATCTCGGATTAGATCTATTGTAATACCTTTTTCACAAACTCGAAACGGAAATTCAGGTTTAAGAAGTGAACTTGAAGCGAAACTGGGCGAGGTTTACGAAAATATTAAATTTTGCAACCAGTGTAAAAAAAATTTGGGTAATTCCTTTCGACATAAGAGATTCTAGATAAACAAGAATAAAATTTGCGTGTTATTTTTATAATATAAAGCAAACAATGGTTGACTCATCCCTAGATGTTAATTTAGTCACCGCTGATGTTGAAAAGTTGTTATATTTCCACATATGGTCACAGCGGTACCCTATTGGTCAGATTAGTGAGATTACGGACTTTAAGCTCAATGAAGCGCAGCGGTATTTTTGCTCCACTAACGCAAAATATTCAGTAGATTATATAACGACGAATTCCCGCTTTTCGGCTTCGATATTTTATGACTGTAGCATTAAGACGAATCACTGATTTCGGCAAGGTTCACTATATTCAAAGACATGAAAAATAGCATTGATTTCTAATGATTACTTTTATCAATTAAGTATACAATTTTTTTTTGCTCGTGAATATTCACAAAATTACTGTAAAAGCCTTGTTTATAATGCGTGACTCGATCGGTAAATGAGTTTATCCGCTCGTTACTGATAGCTTGAATGCATAATTATATCGGTCTGCTAACATATTTTCATTCCCAACCAACCAGAATTCTCCCTTTTTCCTTCAGATTATGTTCGAGACGTTCAACTCCCCAGCTATGTATGTAGCTATCCAGGCCGTGTTGTCTCTCTACGCCTCTGGTCGAACAACCGGTATCGTCTTTGACAGCGGAGATGGTGTCAGTCACACAGTTCCCATCTACGAAGGCTACGCTCTTCCTCATGCCATCCTTCGTCTTGATTTGGCCGGCAGGGACTTGACCGATTACCTGATGAAGATTCTGACTGAGCGTGGTTATTCATTCACCACCACAGCCGAGCGCGAGATTGTGCGTGACATCAAAGAGAAGCTCTGTTATGTTGCTCTGGATTTCGAACAAGAAATGCAGACTGCTGCCTCCAGCTCCAGCTTGGAGAAGAGCTACGAGCTTCCTGATGGCCAGGTTATCACCATTGGCAACGAACGATTCCGTGCACCAGAGGCCATGTTCCAACCCTCTTTCCTTGGAATGGAATCCGCTGGAATTCACGAGACCACATACAATTCCATCATGAAGTGTGATGTGGATATCCGTAAAGACTTGTACGCCAACACAGTGTTGTCTGGTGGCTCCACCATGTTCCCAGGAATCGCTGACAGAATGCAGAAGGAAATCACTGCTCTGGCTCCACCCACAATGAAGATCAAGATTATTGCTCCTCCTGAGCGTAAATACTCTGTGTGGATCGGAGGATCGATCTTGGCGTCACTGTCCACCTTCCAACAGATGTGGATTTCCAAGCAAGAATATGATGAATCTGGTCCTTCAATTGTTCATCGCAAGTGCTTCTAAACAGTAGCACATGTCGTCTTTTATGGAAGACCTTAAAAATGAACAGACTTTGGGCTGACCCAAAGAATTGCAATAATATTTCTTAGAAGACATTTCTTCCTTTTTTTTCTATTAAATGTACAAGTTGTGATAGCTTTTCTAAAAATGTTTCTAATAAAATTATCTCGAGTCAAAATTTGAATAGTTAGAACGAATTTGTTTTCCTTTCGCGTTGGTTTGGTTCTTGTTGATAACCCTAGCACCCGGACACGAGGCAATTATGAGGGGGAAAAAAATTCAAACTTTTGGAAAAACGGTTTGCCCTCGCTAACCTACACAAAGCGACCTGTAGCTTTTTTAAGAAGAGGTTCACTCTCTCATCCTTTAGAGTGACTTACATCTAATTTCTTCATACAGTGTAACTGCTGGATCACACAATTAAGTCGAAAGAATCTCCTAATTGTTTAGGGTTACATTTATTTTGGAGTCCATACAAATTGTCGCGAGGATGTTAGATCGGAAAATAAATTTCTGAAGCTTCTCGTACGGACTCGAAAGAAAATAAAAAATAGGCTCGTTTGTTCGGTAAATATCTCGACACAAAGCATCCCAGAATAATCTGGTTGAGATATGACAAACTAGATATGAACTGTTGTCTTCACGAAACCTGTGCGAGTAAGCAGAAATACTCGCATGTAAGACGTCAACGCAAATAATTATTGCGTGTAATAATTATTTCTGAGCACCATCGTTGGACCAAGTGTAAGTTTTGAGCGGTTATAAGACTTTCTTTCTAAGGTAAGACAAGATCTCTCGGGACAACCTAGTATTCTTGACGGCTGTTCTTTGGTCTTGTCACGCATCACGCTATCTCCGTCGCGGCTGCGAACGAGACTGGCGAACATGTTTACGATTCTTGGAGGTAGTAAGGACAGGGAAATACATGTAACGAAAATTACCGGGTACAAACTGCGATAAACTTTAACAAAATAATATATTAATTTATTGCTGTACAAAATAAAACTTTAGACAACACTTAAGAAATGTAATTTCAAGCACTGTACCAGTCTACCGGGAAAAAATTAAAATGACAATAATTGAGCTTGTGCTTGTAAAATTTCATAACATGCTAGACCGGTTCTGCGTGATCTAGTCGATCTTCGTTGATAAATTCTGCAAAAGGGCTTGGGTCTGAATCATTCAACCATGGATGTCTTGCCAGGGGATCTGAAAACAACCACGTTAGAAAAGGTTAATGTTAGTATCTGAGCAACTGCGCACCTACCCCTCCCCTAAGACAACATTATTCTTAACTTGTTTTGAACAGGCTGTTGTTGGGTCAGGGAATGGGAGGGCGGGGGGCAGTAGTTCAATTTCTAGAAGTACTGGACGAAGTTAAGCGTTGCGTGACAAAGAGGGAAGCAATGCTATCAGATTTGAAAGGGAGGTTATTGATATAAATGTAGGTCTTCTTGTGCGTATAATTTTTTTTGTCTAAATTGTTTTATCCTACCGGCCAAGTTCACAGACACCAGGAAGACAGTAGCTCTCAACACAGTGCTAGCTTTTCGACTAAACAACCACAAGTACTAACCTTGTTAAATAAGCCAGTGTTTTTCTTGCTTCTCTGAAAGAAAAACAAAGGACACTTATTGATGACGTCCACTAAAAAGCTTTTCAATCGAAATCTGATATTCTATGATGGAAAAGTAATTGGTTGAAGTTAAATTTTTTCTCCCTTTTTCTCATTTTTCAGAAAAAAATGTTAATACATTCTATCTCCTTTAACATCCTCACTTTGCTAACGCCCCTTCGCCTTTCTCCCGCTCTTTTAGACTTCGAAGGATTCTTGGATCGCTCCACTCCATAAGACCAAAGGCTCTCACAACCTGAGGAACAGAGAACAGTTTTTCAACTGGAGATCAAATCTTCAACTTATTATTATGATAGCCAACACATTGGTGATTTTCGCTCATTTTTGCATAATAACTTGGTAAAAAACAGAGGCCAAATTCCGTGACAGTATCTTGTTTTCCTGACAGTGCATGCATATCGCAAAGATTTGAAGCATATTTCAGGAAGACTCTATGATACAAAAACACAGAGTACTTAACGTCACCTGTATTCTGACATAACCACTAGAGTCCAGTTCTAAGATGTCTAACAGCGCCTTCATTTCTTTCACTCCTTTCATCTCTAGAGTCGCCTGTGGATGAAAAAAAAACATCAAGTATCAACTCGTGCGTTCCGTTGCCAGAATCTGAGTCTAAAATTGTCGTCTCTCTGTGACGAAACAACGACAGATCAGACTTCAGCTTTGAATGGGAAATCCTGTAATTCATAACGAAAGCTACACCCTTTACACATAAACATTAGGATAGATATTCTCTATACTGCCTTCTATAAATTTCCTATGGGTCTGACAAGAGGAGATTTTGTTTAACAATCACGAGCGCATTAAGTTGATGATCATTTTCTTTACTCTTATTACCATAAATGTTTAATTCAGGATGATGCTGAAAGGAGAAATTAGATGCTAATCACTCTTAAAGGTTAAAGGGTTATTGCCTGAAAAACAAATGAATAACGGTAACGACAAAAAAATTGATAATGATAATGAAATGGCAAGGAAACCAAAAACAATAATGACACTGTCAATGACAATAACAATAAAAAACAAAAGTTAAACAAAAAAAAAACGCAACAAATCCGAAATAAATGAATAAATTAAGATAATCAAAACAGCAATATTATTTTAAAAAAATTATTAATTTGCATACCAAGGAAATGACTGCACGCCCGCGAACTTCTTCTGCTGGGTCTTCTAGTCGTCTGGTTCAAATGCGAAACCAAAGTAAGGGTTAAGCAAAGAGTTCGTGACAGATTTTAGTTGGGTATTTAACAGCCATGCAAGATTGAAACACTCAAAATGGCCAGTCACAAAAATCATAAACAATAATAAAGCTGGCCATTCAGAAGCAACCCCAGCCTTCCCCACCCCCCCAAAAAAAAAAAAAAAATTACACTGGAACAAACAAAAGAGACAAGAAAAATATGGATTCAGATGAAGCTCCTCTTCATCGTTTTCACATTTTCTCTCTCATTCTCACCTTCGTCGTGGTAGTACTACACTTCCCCACTAGAAACGAGACCACTGTGAACGAGTTAGTTCTCTGATCAAAGGAGGTAAGTTTCTAAAGAAACTGTGGTGCTGCGTCGGTGGGAGAGTATAGCAGGCAATTTAGTGCTAACAACTGAGTTGAAAACGTAAATTGACCACTGTAAAGAGCTGAAAGGCTGACGTTTCGAGCGTTATCCCTTCGTCAGAGCAGAAGAGGGAAGAGAGAAATAGGGCTACTCCTGTCTTAGACCCCGGCGATTTTCTCTGGCACCCTTATTCGTTTGTCTCTACGGACAGAGAACTGGACATAACTAAGCTAATTTTACTATGTGACGGAGAAAAGGTCCGAGAGATTTTAAAATTCCAAGATTTAAAATGTACCTTAGCACCAGTTGACATGCTCTTTGTCGCAAGCCAAGCGAGCTCAATGCTTCGGACACTTTACTTCTCAATTCCTACAAAGCGGAACACCAAGAAACAAAACTAAACAATTTTGACTAGGGGGCAGAAAAATTTTAACTATCACTTTTTAAAATCTCGTGTTTAAACCCCCTAATACGTTTTTATCAAGGCTTTCATGCGCAATATTATTAACGATGCTTCCCGCAGTAAACATTTGTTAATTTGTTTAGTTCATAACTTCGTATACCTTATTAGCGTGATCCCAAAGAAGCTCTTCCAGTGTATCAAACACTTCATCCGAACTTTTCACTTTAAAAACGTCTCTTGATCCTGAAATTTCCCAAATAAAAATTAAACTGAAAGGCAAACTTCAACAGCGGTTGAAAATTCGCTACCGTAGGAAGTTTAGGAGTTAAGATTATAGCAAACTAGCAAAAACAAAAACGGACTTCCGTTCTCATTCCAATTCCTAGCCATTCCTATGATCCTTGAAACATCTTCTGCGAGTGTCTTGTTCGTAGCTAAGCAAACTATAGTACCTAATTGAGCAAACAATAGACGCTGAGAAACTCAAATATTTTCAGTTTCTCCGTAAACGTAACGCTTAACCACTAAGTCAACGTCCAAACTACTCTCTGTAGCTTAAAAATGATTGAACTGGAACAAGATTGAATAATTATTTAAGAAAACAAATTAAGAAACTAAATCTCCACGTACCAACAAAAATGAGTAAATCAGCTGCTTCCATTCTTAGCTGTCAAACAAAGGGAGAAAACAAAGTCGGTATCAACTTTTATTTAGACAGTTTGTCCTACCGAATATCTTGAGGTTTTGGTTTTTAAGCTGCCTAAGAATGCGAAGTTCAGGCAACATGCTCTATTAAAACTGACAGTCATCTTGTCAACAAGTGTCCTTTTTGTTAATGCTACTACACGCACTTTCACGCTTTTTGCAATATTTACAGGCGCGTGTCACGTTTTTCCTACGCTTAAAGTGAGTGGTCTGGGACCTAGTTTCTCCCGCCTTAAATCAAGCTGATGACATGTTTTACTTACGGTTCACCATTTAAGGTTGGCACGCAAAGAAAACACATATCTAGAGTTATAAAAATTCGCAGACTTAGTCCGTGTAGGTGAATTGAACAACCTTAGCGATTCTTTTAATAAACTCGATAGGGTTGAATGGAAAATAAAGAGACAAACTCACCTTCCAGTTGTGAGCCGTACTCAGCTGTTCTAATAACGCATCCAAGACCAGTTTTTCCTTACAATTCATTTGTTTAATCAAAACGTACAATGCCTATGGAAAAAACAAATTACATTCGAGAGTTTCATAGTTTCAATATTCCAATCCACATATTCCTATGGGTTATTCAGTAGTTTGATTTAATGCATAAAAAGCTATATCTTTCCCTCTGTTTAAAGGCCAAACTCTTACCTCTCCCTTGTCACGTGGAGACAACCCAGGAAGCCTGGTGATGAGGTACATCTTTGAGACTGGTTCAACCACACACAATCGACCAAGACTCACTGCTGCATGAAATGCTAGCTCGGGAGACTGGGTCTTTACAGTGTGTATTAGTAAACTGACCATCTGCTTAAACTCTTTGGTGGTCTAAAATAGAAGGTGATTACTTTATTAAATCACCTTTGCTTCATAGTGTGCCAAGGATTTAAGGAATAATTTTTGGTGCCCCCCCCCCCCCCCCAAAAAAGAGCACTGCCCCCCTTTCCCCTAAATGGGATGCTAGTTTAGTTACCCCCATCATTTTTTTTAAGGTTTTCCAGACAGTTTGTGGTATTTTCTTTCCTTTGATTGGTTGTTGTGAGCGTTGTGACACCCAGTTTTCACTCTTTAACATTGCTTTTTATATCTCTGAAGAGAGAGAGAGGGGGGGGGGAGTGCATCAACTCAAACTAAAAGTTAGAAGTAAGAGTATTGTAGTTACCTTGTCCACAAAAGCTATATCTCTAGCTTTAGTCATTGTTGATAATAATTCCAACACAACATCCTTATTGCCTGGAAAGAAGAGAGAGAATTTCAGGAAATATTGCTAAAATTGGTTCAAATCAACTAAAAGATATTCAGAAAACTGAAAGTCACTTATATAGCCTGTAAAGTAAACAAAGTGAAGGAAAAGTTCCTTCATCAACATTTGATCAACACTTGTGAAATGATGATATTTAGGTCTGTAAAGCATCACATTAAGAAATGCCAGAGTAACTGGATTTCCCCCAGTGGGCTGAAGTGTCACACTATTTTTCTCATGTATTATGTAAAGATGGTGCTCTACATTTTTGCAAGAAGCCATGGGAAGTGTTCTCCTCTCAATGTGCAATGCTTGCAAAGAGTATTTTGAGATTTTCTAACCTTTGTTGATGTATTGTCTTATAACTGCCATACCATAAGGATCCCATGTCCCTAGGGTAGAAGATAGAAGAAATGAGCCATGTAACAGTCATTTAACATATTCACATACCAACCTACCCTGGTCTTTAATAACAATTAGTTTTAAGTCAAGAAAATAATAATATTATCAAGACAAAGTCTAGTTGAGGAGATTGTAAATGTGGCTCAGCTGATGATATTGTTGTGTCTCAGGGTGTGGCTATGGAATGTTAATGAAGAAAATGAGAAATTTGCAGTTAATCCAAAACCAAAAATGAAGAATTCACCTAATAAGATTAATGCCTTGCTTGCTTCATAGCAGACTTTTGGGTCTTTTTGTTGTTTTATCTGAAAAAGAGCAATAGAATATTAATACATACAGTTTGAGTGGCACATTTTTTTATTTTGCCTTGTCAGATCTTTTTGTGAAACGATAAACAATCAAAGAGGCACACCGTCTGAGATTTAAGTATCTTAACCAGAAATTGGCTCTAAATAACAGTAACAAAAAGATTCTCAAGGGGAGTTCCATAATACATGTGGAAAATCCTAAATCAGTTTATGACATTTCTTTGCAAATGCTTTTTTGCAAATCAACCATCATATCTGCCCTCTCCCTAGTTTTAAATCTTAAATGAACAATCTGAGAGATGTTCAACTTAAATTCTCATAAGAGCACTAATATTCATTAAACCTTTAATTCTCAGAAGTGATTAACTTGTAACCTCTCCCTTTTTGTCCATATATATTTTCAAGCTAAAAGGTAACACGGATACTCAAATTTATCAGGTACAAGTTTTTTCTTCATCCAAGACCAAATTCTCCTAATTAATTTATAAGGAAATGTGTAGCAGCTAAAGGGTGAATTAATAATCAGATCTCAGGAGTCCAAAGGGTTATTGAACCAGTACATACCACTTCAGTCAAGGTATCTATAACACACTTCTCACGGCACTTGAGCTGACCAATAGTCTAAATAAGAGGAAAAGAACTGTGAATCACATTTTACTTACAGAGGAATCTAACTTTAAAAAGAATATATAGTCAGAGGTTAAAGTACGCAACTCACAGTGAATAAATAATTCTAGGAGGTTACTATTTTATGGTGGTCTGAATGGCTGTGTGCCACCAAATAGAATATGACTTTCTGGGTCTTGAATCTTAAACAACCTAAAGATGTCCTTAAGGAATTGGACAGCCTTGAATAGATTGGACACTTTACAGTGCTTGGTCTGCATTATGAAGTACAGGGTGTATACACAATAATTGCTCACATTTAAATCTAATAAATTAAATATAAAAATTAAAAATTGAACTGTAACCAGGATATGACATAGTGAAAAAGGTAAAAAAACGTTCTCTGGTTAAAATGGTTTTAAAATATGAGCTTTCGGCTATTATACTATAGTCCATATATATGAACGTTAAAGGCTATAGTATAATAGCTGAAAGCTCATATTTTAAAACCTTTTTAACCAGAGAACGTTTTTTACCTTTTTCACTAAATATAAAAAGTCTGAGAAGGCCTTGAGACTGAAAGAAATATTCACCTACTAAAGCAGACTTTGATTGTTAGGCAAATTCTCCTTGTTAGTCCTTTGAGAAATGTATAACAAAGTGAAAGGAGAATATGCACACTGATTTAAGGGTGTACATTGCTAAGTGAGCATTACCTTAACAGCTTCCGCAGCTACTGTTGAATTTGAAGACAACACACCTCTTTCACTCAACAAAGTCTATAAGGAAATGATTCTTTCATTAATTTAACAATTTACATGTACATGTAGCAGTGATACCCTTACTGTACAACAAAATTACATATTGGGTAATAAAATAATTCGTCATTACCTGAATTCTGTTCCACCTGGGACCATCACCTTGTACAACTAATGACTGCTCTCTCTGCATTGGCGTAAATGCTGTTGGATCAAACAATTCAGATCTTAACCATTAACCCCTGAGTGACCAAGAGAAACTGTTCACTTACAATATCAAAACAATATCAAGCAGACATTAGTGATGTGAATAAAACAAAAATATATATAAGTTAGGAGATTGTTTGTTGATACAATACCTTATTCTCTGAACTAACAGCACATTAACTGTATGGCAGACAGTAAGGAGAAGTATCAGTGAGATTTTGGAAAGTCGTTATCATATGATGATGGTAATAATTATTATCTATTATCAATTATTGTAAAAGTGAATTCCAGCAAATGTAAAACATTCCTGAATCAAATACAGAAAATAATACTGAAAATTACTCTATTATAGCCATCAAACCAATGAGAGCAAAAAACCTACTGAAAGACTCTATTCCCAGTTTAACTCTTTAACTTCTGGAAATGCAATTGACAATAAACCTTGCTTCACACTCAATTCAATTTCCACAAAAATGCGATGTGTCGTGAGAATGTAAAAACTTATCCACACAAGGAGATGAGTATCAGCAAGAGGAGAGAACTGATTAATCATCAGATGTTGTGAGATAAATTTCTTACCGGCAAACCCATTCATTCCCAAGATATAATGAGCAATTCTCCTTACTGAAAGTCTGCTGTACAATTTTTATGATGTTAGTTTGGAGAATTTGGTAATTGATATCTTTTTTTATTCTTATCACTTGTCTGCTTGATGTTGTGTTGATATTGTTGGGAGAAATTCCATCTTGGTCACTCATATGAGTTAAAGGTTAAAGAACCTTTCATCTTAACATCGTAATCAGTAATAAAATACTGTACTATACCTTTCAATGCTGTAACTATTTTCTTTAGCATAGATGGCTTCCACAAGGATGTATTGGCAAGATCTCTAACATTGGAATTGAAAAAATGTGTTGAGTACCAATTTTTTGATACTAACAGTAATGCAGGACTTCAAATCATCTTTTGTCAGCTAGAGTATGTGCTAGGTTTCCTGAAATGCAACCCACTGGAAAACTGAAATCTGAAGATCTCTAAGAGTGGGTGGGAGGAGAATTTCTTCAATCAAGAACCCCTCCACCCACCCACCCTCAAACACCACTTTATCCCAGCCTCTCCCATGAACTGTTATCACTAACATGGATGCAAAATTTCTATAATCAGCAAAACATTCACAAAGAGGAAACCTTTCCTGACCAAATATACTTGATTTCCCCTTTTTAGCTACTATATGAAAAAATGACAATTGTTTCCATTTTTAGCAAACTGTGCTGGAGACTGGGAGATAAGTTCAGAATCCAGGAGACCCTTAGATAATCCAAGAGAGTTGGCATATTTAATACCTATGAATATAAACCATCTTTCCATCAATCACTCCCTCTCTCCTATCCAATGCTTGTTCAGCTTTTAATTTAACATATTTTAATTATCTTTAATTTTCAGAAAGCTAAAGATATTTTGAAACTTACAATTCAATAACTTGCCGCTCACTTTTAGGACTTTCCTCATTTCTTAGTAAATAACGTGGCTAAGGGAATAACAAAATTTTCACAATGCATGAGATAAAAATTTTGTTTTGACACTGTAACAGATCTAAAATAATATATTAATCTACTAAGCATCCAATATCGCTGGAAAAAAGAAAATTAAGCTTGTAGTCACTAATTTTAAAAATAGAACACTTGCTCATGACTTGGGAGAAATCACTTCTTTTCAGTCTTTAGTATTAACTGACCTGCACAATGCCTTTTTGCACTCTGGAGTTTTGTTTTGATTTCACTTTGAAAATTCTTGGAATTCTATAACCTCCTTCGAAATCTTCACACCAAGATGAGGAGTGCTGGGGATACAGTTTCGTTGGATTCTATCGAAGTAGTATTAATGTAGGTAACTGTGAGACTTTACTGACTCAAGCTGGTACAAACTACGGCACAACATGCATCATTGAAAGGCTATTTCTATATTTATATGCTTATATTTTATACGCTATTTCTAGTTATTAAAAGATTGTATAACATTATCCACTGAATAAATCTCTATCCAGTGGATAACGCGTATGTTTTACTATCACTCATCCACTGCATAGCAATTTTTTTGTTGGATAGTGTTATCTGCCCTCTACAACTGGCCCCTGAAGTTTAAGCACTAGAACAAATCAATTGGCTTAGACAAGAGCTTTCTGGAATTTAACTACACACCATCAAGTCTACAAGTCTCTTCGCTGACCAAGTTGTCCTGAACACCATTAAGATGTTATCTGACTGGCATATTTCGGTGGAGTAACATGACCATCTATTCCTTCCTTTCTCTCCTCTTTAACCCTTTACACTATAACATCAGTATGTATATTCTCCATACTGTTTTCTATCATATCCCAAGGTGCTAATAAGGAGAATTAAACTGTTTAACTAAGAAGTTAATTTCCTTTATTCTCATGACCTTCACGTTTGATTGGGGGGTGATATTGTAAGGAGAAATTAGATGCTAATCACTCTTGGGGGTTAAATGGTCAATAACCTCTTTCTCCTCATTTTAAGTGGTATCAAAATTGATAAAATATGAATATTAGCAACTTCAACACATGCTGGACAAGGCAGAGACTTACACGTCTGGCTGTTCTAACAGCTGAAGGCTCATGTATGATGACTGGGTACTTCTCAGTGGAAAATGTACTCTTCTGCCGAGCTATTGGGCTTCCAATATGTGGCAAACTGATATGACTTGCATGTTTTGATACTGGTAGTGGTGCAACCTGTTGAGAGAAATTGATAGAAATAAAAAAATATTCAGGTATTTTTATTAGATAAACTATTCTGCACCTATATTCAGACTAACATATACTTTTGTGGATAAAATTTTTCAAATGTGTGGAAAGATGATGAATTTCGTAATTTTATTAATTATCACAATAACAATAATATTATTATCACACTGGTATTAATTGCACTTAACAATAATTCACCATAGTTGAGGTAAATATCCACAACTTCCACTGACACTGAGGTGAATAACTGTTTAGTATTTACAATCGAAAGATTAGTTATTTCTTTTAATGCTACAAAAAATGGTTGGAAATTAAACTTATGAGACACGCTTTTGTCTTCAACTGCCCTGAGGTGAATAGCACTCTGGTTACTCACTTCCCAAACATTATTAAGCCATTAATTGGCATGTATGAAAAGCACTATTCACTTGTGTGGTATATAAAAATAATGAAATCAATACAGCTATAATTATCATTGACTCTGAGACAATTAAGGCAGGCTTCTGAAAATACCAAAATTAGGTTTTTTGAACATTTTAATTAAGTCAAAAATTATACATCTTCAACTTATTAAGGCAATTTTTTTCCACAAATGAAATCCTCTACCTGCTGTTTTTCCATAGCTGAGCCTCCCTCTACTTCCACTAGAAAGAGAAACACAACTTTCTTTAGAATGTAGCAAAGTATTTGAAGTTTATGCAAAGCAAAACCTTCCAAAGAATTGTTATGTTATGTAATTGAGTACAGAACAAAGGCAGAAAGGCATTTAATTTAGATCTGACAAAAGTCGCTCAGTAAATTTTGCACACATTGCTGTCAAATCAATGACTTTTGTAAATTAACATACGTTCAAGTTTTCCCATCACTGTCTCAATTTTTTGATCTTTCAAAATGGGGTCTATTGTTGTCTGAGTGGCTTGCCCAATCGCCTCATACATTTTGTGAAGTCTCAACAGCAACTTGTCAAGTGCAATTTTCTGTGGGGAAAAAAAAATGATAATAAAGAACGTCCTTTAAACCAGGTTGCAAATTACCAGTAAATTGTAATAATTGGTGAAATCTTTTCAGTTTGACAAATGATTTGCAAGTATAATTTCCATTTTCAGCAGGTGGGTTTATTCATTCATAACTTCCATGCAAAGTTGAAATGGAGAGTCACATATTAAGTGTCTGCTTTGTTCACCCATTTCATCAGAAAATATTCTTGAGCAGAACAATTTTGTAAACCACATCATCACTTCATGAAAAACTCCCAATTATTCTTTATAAGCATCCAATTTTTCCCAACAGCATCCCCCCTGAATCAAATATTAAGGTCATGAGAATAAAGGAAATGATTGCCAACTCAAGAAGCTCTCAAGTGTTAGACAAATTCTCTTTGTAAGTACTGTAGAAAATGTATATAGAGAACAGTATTGAGAACTTGCATATTCAATTTGATGTTAAAGTGTAAAGGATTAGTTTTAATACCATGCTTATAATCTATGTACATACATGCACATCAATGACACTGGTAACTTTCATTGGTTTCTCTTTCCAAGGAAGTTCTGGGTCAAAATGTGGCTTTTCTGCAAATCAGAGAAAAGTGGAACTAAGGAAATGATTTTCTAATAATTTAATGACATGATTGACTATTCCCTGATTTTTCAAAAAACCTAAGCAGGCAGTCATCAATAAAGTCCAGTGCAGGAAAAATATAAAAATATTCAGCTCACAGACAACAACCTTATTAATTCAGTAGATGCTGGATTCTTAATTTTTCCCTTCTTCATGTACTTCTACAGTGCATTTTTTAAACTTTTATCATCATGTGATTATTTCTTAATGGTTTTAATAAAGAAGGAATAATTTGTTAATTTATAAATAAATGGAGTTGGCATCTTCAATAAAGATAAATACCATAAATATATAATTAATTAAATTGTATTTAATCAGTTGTCCCTGGTGATGACATTTTGTTGTTCAGATATCAGTCACTTTCATCAATAATGGCCCCTTTAAGAACCTCCCTCAGGTGATCAGAGATAGAGCTATACTACATATTCTTAAGTAATAAAAATACTGACCTCTTGACAAAAAACTCTCAGGTACTCCCAGCCCAAGGGCATGCCAAGAACGTGAATCCAGACTCTGCATATAATTTGACCATTCAAACTTGTGATGATCTGAGTTCCAGTACTCTGCGACCTTATCATCATCATCCATGTTTTCACCTTCCTCGTTCCTTGTGTCTGCTGTAGAAATTGCTCTCAAGTTTCCAAGCCTTGCTCTGTCAGTTTTGCTTTTTGGTGAACCTTCTGTACCTAAAAGGCAACAACAAGAAGATTTAAAGCTGATTCAGAGTGTTACATAGACTTAAATATTCAAGCAAAAAAACACACACAGACTGCAAAAACCATCAGGAAAAGGATTCTCACTGGTAAAGTAAACTGAAGAAATGGCCAATCTTTTTAACCCTTCAGTCTCCAAGTGTGACTCGCATCTCAGTCAAGAAGCTCTTGATTGTTAAACAAATTCTCCAGGTCAATACTGTATGTAAGTACTTACTAATGTTAGGGTGTAAAGGGCTAACCATTGCTTTACAGTGTAAATCCACCAAATGACACTACACAATCATGAAAATTTGAAATTTGAGCATGTTGAGCCCTTGCATGTTGTGTTCTTAGACAGCTGACACTTGTGTCTCTCTCCTCCCAGGAGCATGCAAAGTTATATGACTCCTAACCAACTATCATGGAAACTTGATACCCTGCTGACCTATTCTTACCCGAGATGAGCTTGCATTCCATCCAGGATGTGTAGCTACAATTATTATTAGTTTTACTTGCTACAATCATTCTATGGATATCTTCATGGATACAAACCAGGAGTAATGGGCTACTTAGCCTACAGGAGGTAACCTTAACCCTTTACAAAATTACACCAGTATACACATTCTCCATTCTGTTCTCTCTACATTTACTATTTTACTGACGAGGAAAATTTATTAAAAAACAAGAGCTTCTTTGACAGTAATGTTTGGTTCAGCAGTGACACGGAAAGAAAAAATTTGATTTTAGTCACTCTAAGGGATTAAAGAGTAAGATCATTAATTCATAACATACCAAATGGTGTATCAGCTGTCTCAGAAACCTCCATTGTTGGAATGTCCTTGGTATCAGCTTCATGTCCCTCTAAGTCTTGAATGCCCACAGAACTAACCACAGAAACAGATCGTTGATCATCAAAATCCTCTGGTTCTGATTGTGGTTCAGCAGTGGTATCAGATTCTTGATCAGACTGATCCTCCTTTGGAGTTGTTGGAGGAAACATCTGCATCAAGCTGTGAGATGATGACTGATTACTACCACCTTTGGAGCCATGTGACCTCTTCCGTTGTTTCCTGTTTGAGAAGATCTCTTTAAATTTTATGATAACTTCAAAATATCAAAGGACTTTATCAATTAACATCCACCTAGTCAGGCTCTTAAGCCACTGATAGCAGTTCAAGGTTACCTTTTTGAGACAAGCTCTTTTCTCCGAAAAGTATTTTCCTTCTCATTCTGTAGAACAGTGTCAGTTACTACGTGTATAACTGGATGTTCATCTCTTTCCTTTTCATCAACAGAAGTCGCTGAGATTGATCCTACAAAGTGAAAGATTTTGTATTTAGGGAAAACTCTCTCTACAGGTTGGCTCTATCCAAGACAGATATCAAAAAAGAGAGGTGATGAACTTTCATAAGATGACAAAGTGCAAAGAGTTGTGAGATAACTGTCAACAACTTTTCAAAACTGGGGCTTTTAGAAAAGTAACATGGTTTAATATATGTGTGTTTGTTGTCTCACCTTTGTTAGAAAACTACAATACGGTTATGAAAAGAAGATTTCATGTTTCAGGGATTTGTTTCTGGGATGGGTCAGTTGTATGACGGTATGTAGAAGCAGTGTAACTGTATATTCAGGTACGCAAGCATTAGCTTCCTGGTTTTGAATCTATTTTAAGGAAATGAAAATGATCTTCAGAAAAATCTATAGGTTACCAAGTGCCTTGGAGCCTGCTAACTGCATTTTAGCAATTTCCTTCACAATAGGTGCTGCCTGTTTGTTGTCCAGTGTACTAGCTGGTCTCCCTTTTTCATTATTAAGTAGTTGTTGTTGTCCCTCTGTGAGTTGATTCCACAGCTTTTCAGAAATCTGATCTTTTAATCCTAATTCAGGGGTCTCAGGGGTCTGGTTTGAAGGAAATAGCTTTTAATTAGTTGAAGTATATTAACATTTTATACAGTTCCCATACAGTTCATGGAAGGTGTATGATAGAAAATAAGCACTGTAAGATCATCAACTGTATTTATATCTAGTCATCATTTGTGAACCATTATGATTACTGAAAGAATAATAATATCAGTCTATTTGGCAAAGTTTAGTACCTTGCTTCTTGCTAACAACAACCTGTTGTATAAGTGGCAGTAGCTTTTAGCTGTAAGCAGTACTTTTCCAGTCTGTCTTGAAGCCATTTCACCCTCTTTTGGCTGCATCAACCTAAGTACATAAGTGTTAAAAATACAAACAAATGATCAGACATTTAAAAATAATCAATCAGATACTATAATTAATCAAACCGGAGAGAGACCATTGCTGCAAGGGGGAGAATCAATATTGACATCAATCAACTATGGGAGGAGATTTTTCAGGTTCTCACTAGTCTCTATGATCTTTGACCACTGAAAATGATTAGCACCTAAATTCTCATACGAATATCATTGTAATTTCATTGGAATCTTACCCCAGAATTCACTTTTATAGCTCTCTCCAGGTCTAGTTGTGCATATGCTAGCTCATTCCGAATCTTCATCAAAACCTACAAAGCAATAAAAAATAAATTAATTCCTTAACCTAATAGCAACAAATTTTATTCTCTTCTAATTACAAATACAATATTTGCATATGTTAAGGTTCAACTTTTTCTTAGGTTAGGGTTTTTTAAGCAAATTCATTATATATTTTTTTCTTTTAAATGGATGTCAATTATCATCCTGATTACAGAGGTAAATTCAAGAGAAAGAAAAATAAAAGTTGATAATACTATTTTGAGAGTTTGAACAAGAAGAAAATTTGAACCACAATGTATGCATCACAGACTCATTTAGCTAGGTACAGCTAATTAGGCAGCTTATTATGCTTTATAATAGCTGAGTACCTGTATAACTACAAGCAGCTCTTCACTTTTGCCAAATAGTTGCTCTAATTCCTCCTTACTCTTTTCATGATCATCCTGTCAAAGAAATTGAAAGTAATGAAAATTAGGACATGTCACAAGAAAGTGATAAAATATTATCACACAGTCACATACTGGGATATTAATGTAAAAAAGAAAACAAATTATGCAAGTTTTAGCAGATTGCAAAAGGTAAGAACTGAAAGAAAATCACTTTAATTAAAGTGAGTGGGTACCTAATGTATCCACAAATTTCCACTGTGACCTATTAGTCCAAAGATTGAACCACCCTCCCCCTCCATTGATTGAAAAAAAAAAAAGGAGGGGGGGGGGGGGGGGGGGGGGGGGGGGGGAGGTAAGTACACGAAAAAAATAAATAAATAAATAAATAAAAAAGAAAACAAACTGGATCTGCAACTGAAAAACATTCTCTACCAAACTTCTCGAGAACTCAGAAAAGACCCAATGTTAATCAGACTCCAAAATTTAATTTGAGCCTACACTTGTAAGGATTGACTGCAAACCTGAAGTCAGCCTCTAGGTTAGTGGCAGTTAACTTTGTCACACTGCTATTAAAATATTAAAATTCTAACACATCCAAGAAGGCTAATGAGATTCCAAAAATTGACAAAGCCTTCAAGTTTGACTTATAGCAATTAATACAATTTGCAACTCATTACACCCGGATGTAAGTAAATGTAAATGTACTTTGAATCACTTGTTAACCCTAAAGGGTTTTCTGATGCTCCTTGATCTGAAACCAAGTGTGAGAGTCTTCTCTGAGCATATGATCACAAGCAAATGTTACATTATTATTGACCTAACCTCTGCAACAGCTTTTCCAAGGTTCTGTAGGGTTTTCTGTAGAGCATCCTGAGTTCCTCTCATAATAAGAAGCTAGGTAGGACAAATCAATAATCAAGTACATTCTACATGGCAATAAGTACGCTTTTTTGTATGATTTTTATAGAAAGAACCCTATAGATATCACTTCATACACAATTTTGACATTTTGGGCCATCTCCACACCAAATTCGTTTGTGGTGACGGGTTTTGTGACGGTTTCCTAAATTAAACATTAACTTCTTTAAATGTCATCTAAATAATTCATAGCTTTCTAAAATCATAAGAAGGTGACTTAACAAGTACAATTTATTCAAAGAAAAACTCGGTTAAATCTAGACTATACATACCTGTTCCTTAATCAAAGCTTCTGATCTCTTGTTCCTTTCCTTGATCGGACGAAGCCCTATCACAGGTTTGTTGTCCGATAACGTGACCTGATCTGCCCTTTGAGAAGACATAATGCTAAATTGCTAATAAAGTGTCTACATCCGAAAAAGGTGATCGGTTTCCATTATCTACAACATCAAGCAAAAAGAGAATTTCTTCAGCAAAGCAAAAGGGCCAAAAATAAAAACAAGACTCAAACAGCCATCTTGCGCCGTTTCCATGGCTCCACAGGTTGCTTGGCCTGGTTACCTGACGTGGTTACACAGCTATTCTCACATGTTAGAAACTTTCAAAATGGCGGCCGTCGAAGACGAAGTTGATAAAGATGGAGAAGACGTTACTTTCAAATCACTGGTAATAAGGGGTTATAATACACATTTCTAGATAAAGGCTCTCAAATGAAACTTTTAATTTGGCCTTTGATGTTTTCATAAAGGGAATTGTCGATGTTTTGTGTGAAGCCTGCCAACAATTGGGATGGAAGTCACCCACAAAGATACAAAGAGAAGCCATTCCAGTTGCTTTACAAGGTAGTTATTGGTAAAATTTGGCAATATTTCGAGAGTATTTCATATTTTATTGGGTAGAGAATGCTTATTAATGATAGGCAATCTAAATCGAGCCATTAGGGTTGGGGACCTTGTCCTGGTGGTCTTTTTTGTTTATCACTTAAACTCTCAGAAGTGATCAACATGCTATTTCTCCCTTTAACATCCATACATTATCCAGCAAACAGGTCTTGAGAATACTCAAATTTATCAGGTAGAATTTGTTATCCTGATCTAACACCAAATTCTCACGACTAATTTACAAGGAAATGTGTGTCACCTAGGGAGGAGAATCAGCAGTAAGGATTAAACACCTTATGTTGATGGCTTATCTCAGTAAAGAGGAAACACATCATAACTGTTGGATAATAAGAAAGGGACACACCATGGGTATATGACATGACACATTCCATTAGATAAAAGAATACACACTGGCCCCTCTTTTCATTTTGTTGAAAGTGTCAACATGGCCATTAATTTTTTCTTGCACTGAAAACTTGGCAGTGTTTTTGCAGTTTTTTGATCCTTTAATATGCTTTGGATTATCTTATACTTTTTCTTGCAGGCAATGATATAATTGGTTTAGCAGAAACAGGTTCTGGGAAGACAGGAGCATTTGCTCTTCCAGTTCTTCAGAAGCTACTTGAAAATCCGCAGAGATTGTATGCCCTTATTCTAACACCAACAAGGTTTGATTGTGTGTATTCTTCAAATCCAGTTTGTTTTTTTACTTCATATGCTCAGGTTAAAGTTTAGTATATGTGAAATTATGGAAAGAGAATTTTTAAAGATTGTTCATTGTTTTCATATTTGTTTTAATCAGCCATAATAAAAGTTTACTTAATAGTCATTATTTTATACTCTATTCTTTGGCGTACTCAGAGAACTGGCATTTCAGATTTCTGAACAGTTTGAAGCCTTAGGTGCAAGTATTGGAGTGAAGTGCGGTGAGTTTTTTAATTTTTTAATCTAAGATTAGGTTTATTTTGCTTTGCTTTGCTCTGTGATTGGTCTCAAAAACTTGTACCACACTCTCAACCAATTACAGAATGATGCAAAACTAGAACCAATCATGGCTTGGCCACCTGTGTTTTCCCAGGCTTTGGACAGTTTGCTTGGTTTTAGTTTAAGTTCTCATGGGTTTTACTGTTGTGGTAATTTTCTCTCTTCTTCTTACTGGTTGTGGTCAGGCAAAAAGCCTCACATCATAATAGGTAATGAAAAAATACCTTATTTATAACTTTATCTTATCAATAACCACTTGAAATGCGTATACATGTATGTCACTGAAACCTCTTTTAAAAAGTTATTTCTATGAAGATGATCTGATGATGTTCAGCCCTTTTCAGGCAGTAACTGGTAAAATTTACAGCCTCTTATACCTTTGTAACTGCCTGATTTCACTTGTAATTATTGAAAATTTTACCAATAGAAGGATTGCTGTGCAGGTTTAAAAAATTTATTTCACTTCGTCCTGCTTAAAATAAGGAGAACCCCTGCATTATCCTTTAAAATGTCAGCAAACCAGAACTGTTTTCATTTCTTGTTTATCACCCCAACAGATAAATTGTCCTATCAGATTTGACAGAAAATAGTGAATAAGTTAAAACCAGAGATATCTAATGTTCAATTATTATGATCTATTTTTCATCTACACTCTGTATCTGTATCTGTAACAAATTGATCTTATTGTAAATTTATGTTTGTGACATTTATTTCCAATAAGGGGAAGTAGGCACTGAAAAATTTTTTTTTTTTAGCCTCACCAGGAAGGCTTGTTGATCATCTAGAAAACACAAAAGGATTCAATTTAAGAACTCTGAAATACCTGGTAAGTGAATAATGTCACAATTACTCTAGTTACTTTTGAAACAAGTTTATCCCCACATATACACCTGTACAATGTTTTCCAAATCTCTTTACCTTGTCACTGGGTCTACAAATGATCAGAATACAAATTAAAAAGGTAATCTTTTTGCTAATTCTTTCACTTTTTATTTATAGATAATGGATGAAGCTGATAGGATATTAAATCTTGATTTCGAAAAAGAGGTATGTGAAAGAAATGATAGAAAATAAATTGATTTAAAAAATTATCTTTATTAGTACAACTTTGCATGGGCTCTTAGAAACAGAAGAGAAACTTATCTAGAAATCTCTATTTCTTTTTATTTGTCAGTTTTTGTTGACATGTAGTGTTGTATGTATTTGCTTGTTTTGTTCCCCATGAATTGAATTTCAAGTCAGTTGGAGTATTGAAAGAGGTTTTTTGCTTTCAATAAGGATAGTGCTTTCTTCTTTCGCATTGTGTACATAAACAAATTTAAAAAATAGTTGGTATTAGGGAGCTTATGCAAAACCAAAAACGTCAATGGCAACAAGGATATGGCAGAACAGGAGATGTAATTGGCAAAACAATAGCACAGCACATGCATTTAAGAACTTTGTACATTCCCAAGCTATTCTCTGCAAAGCAAAATGGTAAACACACCAAAATTTGGTGATAAGTTTCCAGTTGGAACTCATTGCTACTCACATACCTCAAACACATCCAGCCATTCACAAAATTCTAACTAGTACAAGTATAGTTTCAGTTTTTTTTTTTAATAACTCCCTTGGTATTGTCGTCTTCACTGTAAGGTCTCTTACAAAACTGAGAGGAGGGAAGTATCATTAGGTTGAACAGAGAGTCTCACATTTGCTGAACTTTAGGTGGACAAGATATTGAAGATAATTCCTAGAGAGAGAAGAACATATTTATACTCTGCAACCATGACAAAAAAGGTGACGGATATTCTATATTTCATAGTAATAAAATACTAATAGTTACCTGGGAGAATAATCAGCTGTCATTTATTTTGAAACACTGTACAATATGTTATTTGTTTATTTTGGAAGGGAGAGTAGATCGCAGACAGAAAAGAAAAAAAGATTATTTCAGACTGTCATTATATTAAATCAAAAGACATTAGTTTTATTTTTCTCCAACAGTAACAGTAAGGTATAACAGTAAGCTATATTGGAAAAATGCACATCAGTGAAAAAAAATTGAGACTGTATAATAGCAATATCACATGCCCCATATACTGTGTTTTTAAATCTGATTCACCTGAATTATGTCACAGGTTCAAAAGCTTCAAAGAGCTTCTTTACAAAGTCCTGTTAAAGTTGAAGTTGCTACAAAGTAAGTGGTGTTCTTACCTGTTTGGTGCTCTCTGTGTGATAACAATGTAGCAATTATCAAGTAGGGTTGTGGGTTAGCCTCAGCTCACAGAATTTCCTTCTCTTTTAAGATACACCACTGTGGACAAGTTACAGCAGAGTTATTTGTTTATACCAAAACAAATTTAAGGTAATGAATGTGCTTTTGGCACTATTGATGAATCCACTTTGGACAAAGATTTGTAATGAGGTGCCATTGATTCCTTTAAGACTTTGACCCCCACCAGTGACCAGCACTTGATTTCTCCTGCCCACCCTGTCACCTAATCTGATTCTTTTTGAAAACACTGTCAGTTTTTGTGAGATTAATGCTGAAATTCCTATTTACGGGAAATATTCTGCTACCTGATAATTCTTCCTACTGTTAGTCCTGATCGTCTTTGAATGAGTGATTTATTTTTGTCCACAGGACTGTTATCTTGTATCTGTCCTCAATGAACTGGCTGGAAACAGTTTCATGGTGTTTTTTTGTGGCACGTAACAATGTGCAGAGGTAAATAACCCTTGACTCTAAGGGTGACAAAATCTAATTTCTCCTTACAGTATCACCCCAGAGTCACACTTTAAGGTCACAATCATAAAGGAAATGTTTGCCTACAGAAAAAGCTCTTGATTGCTTTACAAATTCTCCTTGGTGGCACCTTGAGAAATGTAGAGAACAGTATGGAGAATATGCATACTGATGTTAATGTGTAACTGTTTAAAAGCCAAAACTCTAGTCAGATACAGACATCCATGATAATTGTATTTTGTTTTTAGAGTGACACTCATGCTGAAATCTCGGTCTCCAGGCTGTGCCTCTTCATGGACAGATGACTCAGGTATCAAAAGACAGTAACTGTAACAACTAACAATAAAAATATTAAATACATATATTTCAAACTTAGAATATACAAACTGTAGCAGGGGTTCAATAGCTTTTTCCACACTTGGCTGCCATGTTGTAATTGGCAGCTGTACCTGGAGAGAAGGACCGTAAGGCAAAATCCTTGCTTGCAACCAAATATACGTTTGTTTCAGTTCTTATAGGCGGTAGTAAAGTGTGTAGTCGCGTATGCACGTACACAAGTGTAACAAGAATACCATAGTGAAACCCCCCTTGTAGATGTAGTCTATTGGTAATTTCTTTGCACACAAAGTGATCAGCTTTTTTTTTTTTTTATCTTCAGGAGAAACTCGGCTTTTCTTCAACTTGTAGCGTTGTTGTGTGCTTGGGGAAAATAAAATGAAAATTCTTGCAATTGCGTTACATCTACCCTATGTATGGTATTGGAGATAAATTAAAATTCTTAAGAGGTCGAGTGACTGCAACTCCACAAGTATTTTGTTTTCTATTTTCAGTCAAAAAGACTCCAGCCCTGAACAAGTTCAAGGTCAAAGACCGCTCAATTCTGATCGCCACAGATGTACAGCTGGGAACCTGGACATTCCACATGTGGATGTTGTTATTAATTTGGATATACCAACACATTCCAAGGTACAAACATGCACATAATGTATAGAAAACAGAAACTTCCACTTTCCTCCGAAAACATGCTCTTTGTTCGAAAGGAAAATGGTTTTCAGGGAAAAATCTAGTTTGAGTCACAGATAATGTCCAAGGACAAATATTTAGCCATTTATGAAGCTAATGAGGCTTATCGTATGTATAAGTAGGAAACAACTTGTTAATTGCTCATTCACGGCTGATAAAACCAGTTCAGCTTTTTAACTGTTTAGTTAACTTCCAGATGTTCCGGAACCAACCTTTAAGAATTGTATGGCACAAAAAGATGAATTACTAGTGAGATCTTTGGAGTGAGGAGGCTAACCTTTCAGGTTACCATTGCTTTAAAATTTACAGAGAACAATTTGCAGTAATCTCTGGAAAAGTTGAAATATCAAACTTCGTGCCCATATCCCTAACCTTGTTTTCGTGTTGTAACTTCTTATCTTCCTTTAGGTGTTTCACTCTCCATGTCAAAGTTGACAACTAAGGCTCTTCCATATTCATTCTTGTTTCTTCTTCCCCTTGGGATTATATTCACAGGCTGCAGCTATGTTGTAGTAGTTTTCTTCAATTTCCGGCTTTAATCGTCGCAGGATGATTTGATCAGTTTGCGACATCTCATTTGGTTTTGAGGGTTTGTTGAATAATCATAGTATTTAAGTTTGGTTTTTCCATCAAAATGTGACAAACAAGGAAACATAAGTTTTTTATTCATTATTTGTCTTCCTCTCCCTTTCCCTCCGCAGTTAATAGAGATCTAAGGTAGTTCTTGTTTTATTTACAGGTATGACGTGGGAATTATATAAACGAATCGAGCGAGCATGGGCAAGCACTCTGTACCCACAGTGGAGGGAGGAAGTCATTTACTGATGGAACGAGTTACAGAGGCACAGAGACCACGCTGAATGTTGAAATTCCCCGCATTTGACTCCATACATTCAAATTATTGGCCTTATGTAACATGCACATAATAGTTGAAAAAAGTGAATTCCATGCTGCCTTTGTTGTTCAGTAATAAAATACAGATGACGTCAAAATTTGGTAGGAATAAAATTTAAAACGCAGAGCGGAGCCGAGGTCTTTACTTAATAGAAGTTGCTTCGCGTTTCAGTGAAATCGCAGGCAGCAAGGAATTTGACCACTGACGACCACGATTTTCCCGTCATTTTTTTCGTTTGCTGCTTGCGCTTTGCTGTTTCTACGTGGTAAGCTGTTTCGCGTTCGCTGTGTACATGATTTTTCCGTTTTTCCTCACGGTAGAAGTTAGTTACCGGAAAAAATTGGGTAAATCTATTTCCATAGTTCATACAAAGGGAAGATGAAGGTTCATGTTAAAAAATCTATAAATGCCACCCTTTTCGTCCCAGCAGCTGCAGGACTCCCGTCGATTCGCCCAGAAGGCTCCATCAAACTCAGGCCGAGTTTAGACCGGGCCACGCCTGACAGAGGAGCTATAAAGTTGACGTGTCAGTTTTTGAAAATTTTCCACAGTGGCACAGTTTACATTATTAACTCAATAAAACTAAATTACTCTGTTCTGATAGCAGTCTGAGAAACCTGTAAAATATTCACACATGTAACTTGTCAGTAAAAGAGTTAAAATGGTTTCCTTGGTATACCTCCTGGGTACTAAATTTCACCCCAAAGCCGGGTTGCTCAAATGATCCCAGGAGTCAATGGATCCCAACTATTCCCTACCGGCAAATCTGTCCACATCCTCCTGATTCTTCTTGTTTTCTCAACTAGATTCGTCTTATTCCCATTAGAGCCTGAGGAGCGTGCAGAGAAAAAAAGAGGCCCGCTAGACGAAGGAGAGAACAGTCAAGAGATCAGAATGCCGAGCCAAGAAAAATTTGCTGCTGGCAAAGAAAAGGAAAGAAATTTAATAAACAATGTACCCTACGCATGTCATCGTACATGGTTCTTTGCATTGAGAATGCGCTTTGTATCCTACCAATTTTAAAATTGTAAAATTGTAGTTTTGAAGCCAAATGGAATCGTGAAGTTATTGTTTCTTGAGAAAATTCTACAACGACTTCCCATTAATAACGTTGTGAGAGTCAAGAAACATCACTCGTAAACTGCTACACTAACGTTGTATAAAATGTGAATTGAATGACCTGAATCACAACCCTTCAACAGTAAAAGGTAAAGATATATATCTACATTTGAAATTTTTTACTGTTTGTCGCAGATGTGTAGTTTTTATTGATGATACTACCCTTCAGCTATACAAACTACTTGAACTATGATTTTTTAAACCTAGTTAATTGTCATCCCTATGAAAACATTTATTAGCACGTTGTCTAAAACTTTACAAAAGGGTCGTCACTGTTACGAGAACTGTGGCTTTCTGTTTAGTTATTTCTAGAATTTCCTCCATCAGAGATCTAAAATCCAATTAACCTATTTGTTCCTTCGTTAATTCATTTATGTACTTATTTTTTTGCCTCAAACTCATTTACAACTGCACCCCCTACTGATTTTTTCGTGGATGTACATCGGTTCTAAAGGTCCCATTCGAGAGCGAGGAACCAGTCAATCAGAATTTAATTCCTAGTGTGATTATTTTCTCCACTGTAAATACTTTTAGGACCAAAGTTCCCCTTCGTCGTTTACACTTCTTACTACAATTTTGTCTCCATAGTAACGACAGAACTGAAATCGATCATCTGCTACATCCACAAAATGGTCCTAACGTTTTGTGTATAATTCATAAGCCAAACTTGAAAGGGAGGTACTGTATTTTCTATAAAACAGAAAAAGAAACCTCTCATCTAAAAACTTTGCTATTATCGCCTCCTCCACTTACCGAACTATCTGGGAGGGACAACCATGAACTTATGCAATCATTTGAGAACCTAATTAACAAATAGAGTTAAAACTTGGTCGAAAGAAAACAGACGAATGAGGAAAAGCGTATGCGTTATTATATTGTAACTGAAATAGATTTCAAGAACAAGTGATGTTGGCGCACGAACCGAATCGCTTCAAATCAGGTCTCTATTACGATGCAATTATGTCCGTTGAGTTACCCTAATTTAGTTTCTAAAGAAAACCAGGTCTTTTTCCATCGAAAACTCCTGTCCACGGAAGGAGGGCAGAAGTCCCGGCAGCGAGTCATCCGTTAATGAAAACCATATGTTCGAAATATTTGGTAGTTATGTACCTGTTGGTGTTTCCTTCAACAAGTCCCTGGCTATTATTGAAAAAAGAGTTCGTCTGGTGAAATTGAAAAATTGAAAAAAAAGATCAAATAGTTTGATCATTAGTCGATCCGATCAATCAGCAGGTAATTAATGTCAATCATCAATCCATTAATAGATTGGTCAGTTAATCAACCAGTCCAATAGAAACTATTATTTCGGTATGTGTACCTGGATTTTCTCCCGTTTTACTTGATGTTTCAATTACTTTCCTTGCTTTGGTATCTGGGAAGAGATGGATTAGTGTCGGAGGTAATGGCAAATCAGTGGAAATGTAACAAAGTATAAGGAAAAACACAGAAGAAAATATCTGGACTACTGAATCCTTCTGGTCCATAGTAACTCAAATAAAGAATCCCCATATGAACGTTTAAAAAAAATGTCCGTCGTTGTTAACATAAGCCAGGAATTAACAAAGGATACAGAATGCATCA